CAGCTCAGGTCTTGGCTTCTCTCCTCCTTCCTTGGGCAGGAAGTTAAATGGGAAGGAAAACAGAGGCGAGAGAGAGGAGAAAACTGAGGAGGAATGAACTTCGCACAGCTCCAGGGTTCCCTGCAGAGAAGCACCCGAGAGCAGAGATGCTGATCCCAGTTATGTGCAGTGCTCTGGGTTGGGAGGGGGGCTCATTGGTTTGATCCAGTGCCATGGGTTGCGGGAGGGGCTCATTGGGCTGATCCAGTGCAGTGGGTTGGGGGAGGGGCTCATTGGGCTGATCCAGTGCAGTGGGTTGGGGGAGGGGCTCATTGGGCTGATCCAGTGCAGTGGGTTGAGGGGCATTCATTGGTCCACTCCAATACAGTGGATGGGTGGGGGGACTCATTGCTATGATCCAGTGCAGTGGATTGGGAGAGGTGTTCATGGGTCTGATCCCATGCACTGTGCTGGGGGAGGGGCTCATTAGCCTGATGAAGTGCAGTGGGTTGCAGGGGCTTGTTGGTCCAATTCACTGCAGTGCGGGGGGACGGGACGGGACGCTCTTTGGTCTGATCCAATGCAATAGATTGGGGGGGGGGGTGCATTGGTCCAGTCCAGTGCAGTGATTTGTGTGCAACAGGTTGGGGAGGGCTCAGGGGTCCAACATGGAGCATAGGGTTGAGGGCGGGGGAGGTGAGGCTCAGCGGTTCCATCAGTCACAGCAGGGAGAGAGAGGAGACCTGACTGGCCTGGTCCATGCCCGATCCAGTGCGGGAAGCCCCCTGCCCTGCCAGACACTCCCCGGGGCCCGTTGTTTGCCCACAGGGCAGCCTGGGCGGCTTTCTCCCTAAAGGGCCTTTTAACTCACCCCTTAATCCCAAAGTCACTTAGTAAAAGACCCGGCCCCTGCCCTGCTGGGGCTTTGTGCTCCCAGCCCGTGGCCACGCAGCCCAAACAAGAGCGGGGCGGGACGGGCTCACACGCCGCTGGCTGCTAATACTGGCCCTTAATCCAGGGGAAGAATGGGCCTGTTTGAGGCTGCCTGGACCCCTCCGGGGCTTTGAATGGCAGGTGCAGTGGGGAGCCCGGGCTACAATGCGAGTGTGGGAAAGGCCTCTCCATTTAGGGGCCCGGATGAAAAGGCCCCGTTCCCAGCAGAGGTCGAGGGGCTTTCAAAGGTCCTGCTCCCCACCCCCATCCCCGAGCTGGTCAGCCTGCTGCAAAGGCAGCGGGGCTAGAGGGGGAAGCAGTGCCTGACTTACACACTCAGTGCACCCCCCTACTCCTCCCAAGCATGCTTGTGCAGATACCTACGTAGTCACCTCTGCTGTAACCTGCCCAGCCAGAGGGCCAACATGTACATGCTGACAAGCATGCCCAGTGCATAGACACGTGCAAATACACAGGCATGTGCAAAGGGCACATTCACACACCTGGCGAGCTCAAGGATGGCCAGGCTGTGTGCACACCCAGGTACACTCGCACACTCGCACATGCCTATGTACACTTCTGCACACACTCATCCGGTACAGAAGACAGAGGTGGGCACACACGTGTGTGCATATGCGCTCACACACACACACCCTTTGTGCCAGGACCCGCCAAGTGACACTCATGCACAGACACTGGCAACCCCACGCGTGCACATCCTCCCTTCCCTCTTCCTTTTCTCATCTTCTGTCACCTTGTCTTGACTCACTTGACCAGAACGTGCCCAGCATCTGCTGACTGCAAGGCTGAGCTCTGGCTGTCAGGTGGACACATTCCTTCATGCAGGGGCTTCCAAGCCAACAGCCGTGAACACTCCCTGGACCCTCCTGCAGGAGTAGGGAGGCCAAAGCCTGCTGATCAGCCCATTCTCCCCTGCCCAACTCCATTGGTCAGCCCTCCTGGGGATCATTCACCCCTTGCTGAATGAGGCTGCTCCTGATGCCCACCGGAGTTCACTCTGTGCAGGAAAGACTGAAGAATCCACCCTGCCACCTGCTCAGACCTGGCCTAGGCAATAGCGCACTGGCCTGCGAGCCAGGAGACCCAGGGGCTCTTCCTGGCTCTGACACTGGCCTGCTGCGCGACCATGGGCAAGTCACGTCACCACCCTGTGCCTCAGCTTCCCAATTTGTAAAACGGAGATAACAACATGGCCCTCCTTGGAAAAGCCCTTTGAGTTCTCCAGATGGAAAGTGCTGTTAAAGAGGTAGGTGCTGTTATTATTTTGCTGCCCCAACAGGAGTGGGCCCCACAGAGGGGGTGAGAGAGTGGGAAGGAATTAAAATCAGACTGAAAAATGCCCTGGAATAGAGTATAGGGAAGGCTCCTGGGCTGGTACCTGATAGGGATGAGCTAGATTGGATCACAGGGAACATCCAACCCTAACCCAGCCGATTCCAGGAGCACGCCCGATTTCCCACTAATCTGTCCACCGTGGCCCAGTGACAGCCGCCTGTTTCTTCCTTGCCTGACAAGGCCCTTTTAGCCACGTGGGGGGGGTGGGGGGGGGGGAAACAGGGGAATGGCAGGGAGCAGCAGGCAATGAAAGAGGCCAGGCATCGCAAGGCTGCCAGAAAGCCAGCAACAGGCACTCCTCTCCCAGGTCTGCACCTTGTCTCGTCTCTGCTGTGGCATAGCAGGGACTGAACTAGGGATCCCCAAAGCTAAAAGGACAAACGGCCAGAGCGCCCTAGCAGCGGCTGTAAAAGGCTCACTTCAGCTGCCGGTTAGGCCCAGTGTGGGACCTGTAACATGCACTCGAGAGGGCGAGCTGATTAATTCATCACAAATAATGAAGAACAAGGGGAGGGAGAGGGAGCTCCGATGGGACCGGTCCTCGCCCCTCTGGCACACACCTAGTATCAGGCTCATGTTCCTTTCCCCTCCTGCCCCTGGGTCAAGGGACTGACCTGCCCACAAGGCCCTGTGAGATATGCCAGAGGATGCCGACTGCCCTGGACCTGAGCTAGCTCATAATTAAAGGTGATTAGAGTCTTTCGCTGAGAGGCAGGGGAGGGAGGGTGTTGCATGCCTGGTCTTTGCTTCCCATCAATCAGTTCCCCTAGGACTGAGTCCAAAGGGGCCTGGCCAAGAACCATCAGGAGGGCCCGATCCAGAAGGCAGATGGCCTTGTCAATTGCCACCCGGCCTGTGAGTTGTCAAGGGCTGGTGGTGGTGGTGGTTTGGGGTTGGTAGACAGGTGGAGAGCCAGTGTGCGCAGGGAACTCTGTGTTAGGGACGGCTCATTGCAAACGAGCACCCTCCCCGAATCTGGCCCCCATGCACCCGGCGCTGACGGTTCAATGCAGTTTGCATTCGCTTGCCTTGCTCTGAAATGAGCCTGCGAGGCAGAGCTCGGATCCAGATTGCAGGGAAACTGAGCTGTTTGCTTCACCCTCTTATCAAGATCGAGCTGCAGAAGTGGGAGCCGAACTGGAAGTTCCCTGGACTTTGTGGGTCACTGAATCTGGATTGCCTGGGCTCGAGCCTCAGCTGGTGTAAACAGGCACAGCATCATCTTCAGTTACACGTAGGCCCTTTCCCTTTGCGTTCGCCGAAAAGTCTAAATTGGCCTGAAGCCCATTGATTTCAATGGGAGCGAGGCGCTTAAATACCTTTGAGGGACGGGACGGTAAATGAGAATCAGGCCCATTGGCTTTGATGCCTTCAGTGGAGCTAGTCAGAACTTTGCAGAAACCCGGCAGATCCTTTAGCAGCAAAAACTAAAATAGCCTTTAATTTCAGATAGATGCATCACCCAGTTTCTCCCTGGAGCAGGGTTGCAAAGCAGCAACGTGTCACCTGGTTCCGATCCATTTAGCTCAACCCTCCCTCGCTCTTAGGTGGGCCCGTGTCCTGCAGAGCACCTCTAAAGCTTGGGCGAGTTGTGACTTGAAGTAAAACGTGTGGGCTATGGCTCCTCCCAGTGGGGAGATGTTAGACTACAGCTCAGACAGGAGAGCAGGACGCGGCCACCTCTTAGGAACTCTTTGGCCATCGTCCCTCATGGGTATTTTTTATGCCCATGCAAAGTGTGTGTAATCTGCTACCAGATCGGAATGGCAGCATTCTTCCCCCAGCATCAGAGGGAGAGCTGTGCCCACCCGCGCATTGTTCAGGTCACTGGCAATTTTCGGAAAATCAGAGGCAAAAAAAAAAAAAAAAGAAAGAAAAAAAAGAAAAAGAAAAGAAATCAAATTTTTTGAAATTTTTCAGTGAATCAGAAAGTTTTAAAAAAAATCATTTGGGGTCAAAGAAAATGTTTCCTCTGACCCAAAATGAAAAATTTCAATTTTGAGCATTTTTAAATGTTTCTGATTGTTTCAAAAATACAATTAAAGGAAAGTTCGAGACAAAAAGTTAAAAAACAAAACAAAAACCACAAGGCTTTGTTCAGAAAACACTAAAATGAAACATTCTGATTTTTTTCAGGATTTTTTTAGGCCCCCCCGCATCATAAACAATTCGGCAAAGCTGGCCCTAATGCATGAAATGTTCCGGCGTTGACTAATCTGCATTTTTTGCCCCCCGAAGTTTTATCGGAAAAATGTAACCCAACTCTAGACAGAGGGTGCAATTCATCCTGACACGGTGCCCTGGGGGAGGCTGAGGCCAAGGGGGGGATCACTTGATGATCACCTGTTCTGTTCATTCCCTCTGGGGCACCTGGCGTTGGCCACTGTCGCAGATAGTGGGCCAGATGGACCTTTGGTCTGACCCAGTATGGCCGTTCTTATGGGGTCAGCAACCAGGCATGGCTCCATCCTTTCCCCAGGGACACCCAGGGTGCAGGGGGGTGAGCCAGGGCAGCCTGGGGTGGATTGTAGGCCAGCTTTGCTGCCTCACTGGGGTCAATGGAGCAGGGGGTGCCCTGGGCAGGTTGCCGACAGAACTACAATTCCCAGAGTGCACCTGGGGAATAGGCGGGGGAGAAATGCAGGCGGGCTGGCGAAAGGCCTCCTGGGAGCTGTAGTTCTCTCTCGCTCTCCCGCCCATGTTCTGGAGGGGAGGGAACTACATTTCCCAGGATGCAAAGTCCTGCCCGCAAGTGCACGGAGGCTGGGGCCGCGGCAAGGTGGCTGGAGGCCTGAGCACGGGAGCGGCTGCGGGTCCCTGCGGAGAAGCCCAGGTAGGGGCGGGCGGGGGCTGCTGAGGATGAGCCAAGCCTGGGAGCTGGGGTAGCCCCGCCCCATTACAAGCCCCCCCCCCCCCACAAACCCAGGATCATCCCCTCCAGCATGCAAATCACGCCCCCCAGTTGCAAACCCAGGCTCCCTCTCCCTCCAGGCAAACCTGGGCTCTCCCCCGCCCTGCATGCAGGCTCCCCTCCTAGGTTCTCCCCCTGCCCTGCATGAAATAACCCCCTGCCCCCCCAAATCCAAATCCCAGGCTGTCGTCATGCTCACCCTTCATGCCCCCCTGCGTTCTCTTGCCCCTGTGCTCCCCCTCCTGATAGCAGGCTCGGCCCTCCCCATGCACAGCTGCCCCTTATCCTCCAAATCAGCAGGCAGCCGATGCTGTACCAGGGGATGTTGTCTCAGTCTGTCCCTCCCCCCCCCGCACTGTGTTGCAGCCTTGGGGCGCTGTCCCCCCCCTCCGGATGCTCCCCGCCCGCCTCCTTCGCCAAGCCCTCCCTCGGCCAGCCCCCAGCTTTGGGTACTCGACAGCTGGTCCCACCATGGAGGAGAAGCCAGTGGAGTCGTCCATTCGCACCAAGCTCCTGCAGGCCCTGCAGCCGGTGCACCTGGAGGTGCTCAACGAGAGCTCCATGCACGCTGTGCCCCGGGGCTCCGAGACCCACTTCAAGGTGGTGATCGCCAGCCCGCGCTTCGCCGGCCTGCCCCTGCTCCAGCGCCACCGGCTGGTGAATGAGATCCTCCAGGCGGAACTGGCCGGGCCCGTCCATGCCCTCTCCATCCAAGCCAAGACCCCCCAGCAGTGGGAAGAGAACCAGAGCGTGAGCCAGAGTCCAGGGTGCCTCGGGGGATCCAAGCACGACCCGCAGATGGCAACCAAACTGGGCAGTCAGGGGTGACCCTGAGGGGGGGGGGGGGGGGGCGCGGGACGGGATTGGGTTGTGTTGTGTTGGCTCACTCCCCGGGGTGACTCTGATGCTCACATTGTGACCACGTCCAGAGCCTTGCAAAGCTGCCTAGTGCTGGAAGTGGGGACATTCAGAGGCTGGGCTTGCACCACCAATGCCAAGAGTCCACCAGGGTCAGCCCCAGACTCTGCCTGCCCCTTGCTCTTGGCCGCGGGTTATCGGTTTCTCGGTTGGTCGTGTGAAATATCCCTGGCTCCTCTGCTTTCATGGTAGCAGGAGGGTCGGGCTGGCGGGTCGGGCTGGCAGACCGGGCTCCTGATGGGCGCGAACGCATGTGTTCATGGTAGTTGTGTCTGGAAAGCTGGGGGAGATTTGGGAAGCCTTATTTTTAATGGAGACTGGGTGCCCGAAATCTCTCCAGTGGCTTTAAAAAGCTCAGTGCCGTGCATTTAAAGTGCGGGGGGGGGGGGGTCCTTGTGTTGTTAATAAAGCTCTTGACTGAGCAAAGAACGGTTTCACACTGGAAAGCAATGACATCATGTCTCTGGATTTGGTTGACCCAGGTTGAGTTTGCAGCTGCAAAATCTTTATTTCACTCGGGAAACTGCGACATGCTGGTTTGGTTTTTTTTTCCCCGTGCGCATCGTCTGCAGCGACAAGAATTCTGCCGAGCAGACCCTGCCCCTCGTGACCGGGAATGCAGTTTGGGACGGTCATTGGAACACAGTTAATAGTTCTGTGGAGGATGTTGGAGCCAGAATAAACTCTCGCCTCCCCCCTCCTGTCTCCGGGCTGGCCCTGCAAGTCTCGTAGAAGCCCTTTGGCTTGGGCTGGCTCTGCTGGGCTACTGAAATATATGTAAGGCCATGAGAGGGAAGTCGTTTCTGCCATCAGCTATGAACTCTGCATCCACACAGACAGCAGGTGAATAATGGTAATAATTAATCCCTAGCTGGGGTATAGCAGCTGCACAGAGGAAAACAGAAATTAGGGGTTGAAAGAATCTTCATCATTTCTGCTTCGTTTCAATGTTACTTTTCATCATTTCTGCTTTGTTTTGCAATGTGTTCAGCTTGGGGCAATGGAAAATAGACTGGTTGGTTTTGTGACCATGAGAGTGTCCATCCCCCTGCCAGTTGGAGGGTGTCACTTTTGCCCTCTACTTCTCCTGTGCTAGCACAAGGCTGGGATGTTGGGGTTAAAAACAACACAGGGAAACATTCAAAACACTGTTGGGGCCGGAAACTCCCCCACCCCACCCCAGACTTCATAGGGATGTTTGTTTGATCTCAAAGTTATCCTGATCTTGAGTCTTTTTGTTTTGTATTTTTTACACCCTCCCCACTAAAAACTCAGTTTGGAGCTAAAATCCAGGCAGAAAGCAGATCTGTAGCAGCCCAGTTGGGTTTTCCCCATAACTCTTAGGGCAAGGCTTAGCGTAAGCAGGCACGCTGGTGACAAAATGAGCGAGGTCTGGACTGTGTGTTTGTGGTTTGGAATGTTCACTCTTCGTCAGTTGGCTCAGATACTTGGCTGGAAAGCTCCCGGACGTTACAGGGCCTGGGAAGTTTTGAAGCTCTCGTTATCTTTCTCCTTTGGGACCATTGGAGGATGTTTTTCTTGGCCGGGTCGCTAGCTGAATCCGATTAGGAAATAAAAATGATTTGTCCATGACTGTGCAACTCTGAAGAACTGGGGAGATTCTGCTCTCCATCCCACGAGTGGAAACACAGGCGGGGTGAATCATCTTGCATTATATTCCCTGCTGGCCATTGTCATAAGATCTGTCCCGCTCCCCCCAGTTCCGTACACCCCCTGTGTGCAAATGAAAAGGGGCACAAACCCGTTTATTTCCCAGCACCCCTAAAACCATCCCCCAGCCCAAACCAGACTCCGAGGCAGCTGGGTTTTTTTTAATCTTTTAATCTTTTTACATTGATTTTTATGGAATAGTCGTTCATAGCGCTGGAAAAAACGGTCACTGAGCCAGCAGGGGGCACACGGCCTTCCCCCTCCCCATTCCCAGCACCTTATATATTTTTAGTTGATTTTTTTCCCAGCATGACATTTAAAATAACTGTCATATCTAATCACTCTGTTTTATACAAAATGGACAAACCAAAGACCACAGCTGAATTATTAGTTTGCTTGATTTTTGGAGGGGAGGGGTTTTTTTTTTGTACATTTTTGTGGTTCTTTACAAACATCTACAAACTACACCACAGCACAGGGTTGCATACGGACAGTACTACGCATGTTCTCTTAGAAAGACCAGCTACACCGAAGAATGGAAAGAGCGAGAGAGACGGGTACGTAGAAAAACAGGATGGGTTGTGCTGTTTGATTGCTTCGGGCTGGCGCAGGTCACGTGGAACCAGCTCTGGATCTGCTTGCTATCAGTGAAGGATCCTTTCTGCACGGGATTAGTTACGAGAGCCCAGGGTGTAAAGCTGATGGGGGAGGTTTTATTTTGGGGTGTTGGATTTTTTGGGGGGAGGGGAGTTGCTGAATTCAAACCAGCACTGATGCACGTTGTGCGGACCCATTGCACCGGCTCGCATGCTCTTTGCTGCCAAAAACAAGTAATTTGTTGCATCTCGATGCAAAACCCAAGAGGAGATGAGGCAGCTTACAGGGAAATCCCCCAGGTGGAGGGTGTAGCACTGACCTTGATTAGCGACATCAGGGTAAAACAAACTACCTGTGGCTTCATCCACCAAGACTTCCCCTGGAGATGTGAAACCAGAGCAGTTTTTGCAGCGAAGGCAGCCTGTCCAACAGGGCAGATTGGGTGTCAAAACGCTACCCCATCCGAATGCTCTTGTGCGAGGGGCAATGTAAGAGCTAGAATGCTCCCTTGCATGCTCTATGCAGGCAGATCTTCCCCATGGGCGTTTTGCCTTAAAAATCGAGACAGGGCTATGGCAGAGTACATCAGCACTGGATGTCTCGCCAAAAGATCTGACTCAGCTCAGCCTCAAGTCCTGGAGAATCCTTGACTGAGGGGTTTCTCTGCCCCATGCTTTGCAGGAAGTCAGATGAGACGATCAAATCTAGGATCACTCCGAGTGCTTGGTTTGGAAGGGGTTTCCTGTGCGGCATCCTCCGTGTGAGGGCACTTCCGAAGACTGTGCACACGAAATGCTCACCCCAGCCTGGAGGCCAGAGGATTTGGAGCCTCCCAGCCTGTGGGGAGCATGGTGTAACTGCATGGGGGAGGGGAGGATGCCTTGGCCAACTGCTGCGGCGTTAATCTGGCCTGTACCTGGGCACAGTCATGCACGTTAAGATGTGAGACCGCAGGGCTTTGCAGCGCCCTCTGCGGGGAATTTTGCGATGAATCGTTTTTCGTCACTGCCCGCGGATTTGTCGAAGCTGAAAGGGGGTTGGGTTTGGCGACTTGCCCGACTCGGAACAGGGTGGAGGGAAATGTTTAAACACCATCGAAGCCCTTCACTCGATGCTTTGTAAGCCACACGTTCCCATTTGCCCTGCCTCTTGGGTTGGACATTTCAGCTCGTTAAACCGAAAACAAGGTTTGAAAAAGAAAAAGGAAAAAAAGGCCGAGGAGAAAGGACACGGACAGAAAGTAGCGCGACAAAAACATTTCAGTTGGCAAACGGCGTCAGGGCTTGGCTGTGCAAATCTGCCATTTTGACTTTTCATCCCCACATGAGATGGAGTGGCAAAAACTTTAAACACTCGACCACATTCACGGGGCGGGAAGACCGTTTTCCATGCAGCTGAACGTCTGAATCAGTGGACGCCCAAGAATGGCAGGAGAGCCCCTAAACTAAGGGACTGTGGGAGGGAAGAAATGCTGTGTCTGCCCTTGTGACTGATCATTGCTGGGGGCAACAAGCCAGGCGGGGACACGCAGTCCCATCATGGGGCAGACCTCAGGCTGAAAGTCTGGCCTTCCCGCTACGGGAACGGACATTGTGACTGCAGCTCTTTGCTTCCCACATGCTTTTATCCTTCTAAGAAGCCCCCTGGGTGCTAGCCCAGCCGCTGGGCTAGGCTGCACCCAAGCAGGGTTAAGGGGTGACGTATGATCATGGGCTTAAATTGCAGCAAGGGAAGTTTAGGTTGGACATTAGGAAAAACTTCCTAGCTGTCTGGGTGGTGAAGCACTGGAATAAATTGCCCAAGGAAGTTGTGGAATCTCTGTCATTGAAGATTTTTGAGAGCAGGTTGGACAAACACCGGTCAGGGATGGTCTAGATAAATACTTAGGCCTGCCACGAGTGCAGGGGACTGGACTAGATGACCTCTCGAGGTCCCTTCCGGTCCCACGATTCTATGATTGTGCTTTTACCCGGTTCTAGCTCGGCTCTCATTATACAGAGCCCCCCCCAAAAAACTGTCTTGTCCCTCTGCCAAGATGCATCAGTCTGGCTGAAGTGAGGATGCTGGTTGGCGTGGGGGTGGGGGCGTGTGGTTGAGACTCAGCAGCTGTTTCTTTCCAGGCATTCCCAAAGGCGTATGAGGGGGGGGATTTGGGCTCCAGTGTAAGGGGAAGCCTGGCTGGTTTGGGGTTGGTCTTGTCCCAGGTTGGTGCAGGTACCTTTGTGCTTTTCCCAACAGCTGCTGGTTTTAAGACTAGCTGCTCGTTTAAAATATGCTCTGGGAACCCCACGATCCGCTCCGCAGAGGGAAAGAGGGAAATCCAATTGTGGGCTCTGAAAAAACCCACCTTCCCTTCCCCCAAAGCACCTCTTGCAAACCCCTCCACCTGGACCAAACGCCTCCCCTCCCAAACACACCTGTGCTGCCCTAACCCTCCCACTTCCCGTCAGCTGGGACTGCTGCTTCGGTTTAGTTGATTGAGAAGAAATGAACACATTTTAAAAAAAAAAGTCGAAAAATATTTGGCGGTTGGGGGTGTGTGCATCTGACCCACCGAACGGTGTCATCAAACAGGATGTAAGGGTCACGTAAGGGTTGCCCTGGGCGATCGGTACATTTCAGAGCTTTCTGTCGGTCCTGTTTGGCCTGTTCTATGTACCCACCCCTTCCCTCCGCCTTTCAAAACACACCATCAGTGACTGGACCAGCGTGGCTCGCATGGAGCAGGCACCAGCAGGGTCCACCAATTGCTGTTCCTCCAAGGGAGGAGCGTGGCTGCTGTTGCAATGAGCTACCTCCCAGAGCACATCTGCTGGAGTTGTCACATTTCCATTGGCATAAGCGAGATCAGACTCCAGGCCTGGGTGATGCAGCTGCTGTTCCTGATACAGGCCTGATGATCAGTTGAGCTAAGGCTCCTTTATGGTGCAAAGGTAACCTCAGTGGAAAGGAGAATCAGGCTCCTAATCTGTATTTTCTGGCTTCCTAGGGGCCCAGTTCTGCCCTGGGTTAGAATCAGAATCATAGAATATCAGGGTTGGAGGGGACCTCAGGAGGTCATCTAGTCCAACCCCCTGCTCAAAGCAGGACCAATCCCCAACTAAATCATCCCAGCCAGGGCTTTGTCAAGCCTGACCTTAAAAACTTCTAAGGAAGGAGATTCTACCACCTCCCTAGGTAACGCATTCCAGTGTTTCACCACCCTCCTAGTGAAAAAGTTTTTCCTAATATCCAACCTAAACCTCCCCCACTGCAACTTGAGACCATTACTCCTTGTCCTGTCCTCTTCTACCACTGAGAATAGTCTAGAACCATCCTCTCTGGAACCACCTCTCAGGTAGTTGAAAGCAGCTATCAAATCCCCCCTCATTCTTCTCTTCTGCAGACTAAACAATCCCAGTTCCCTCAGCCTCTCCTCATAAGTCATGTGTTCCAGACCCCTAATCATTTTTGTTGCCCTTCGCTGGACTCTCTCCAATTTATCCACATCCTTCTTGTAGTGTGGGGCCCAAAACTGGACACAGTACTCCAGATGAGGCCTCACCAATGTCGAATAGAGGGGGACGATCACGTCCCTCGATCTGCTCGCTATGCCCCTACTTATACATCCCAAAATGCCATTGGCTTTCTTGGCAACAAGGGCACACTGCTGACTCATATCCAGCTTCTCGTCCACTGTCACCCCTAGGTCCTTTTCCGCAGAACTGCTGCTGAGCCATTCGGTCCCTAGTCTGTAGCTGTGCATTAGGTTCTTCCGTCCTAAGTGCAGGACCCTGCACTTATCCTTATTGAACCTCATCAGATTTCTTTTGGCCCAATCCTCCAATTTGTCTAGGTCCCTCTGTATCCTATCCCTCCCCTCCAGCGTATCTACCACTCCTCCCAGTTTAGTATCATCCGCAAATTTGCTGAGAGTGCAATCCACACCATCCTCCAGATCATTTATGAAGATATTGAACAAAACCGGCCCCAGGACCGACCCCTGGGGCGCTCCACTTGACACCGGCTGCCAACTAGACATGGAGCCATTGATCACTACCCGTTGAGCCCGACAATCTAGCCAACTTTCTACCCACCTTATAGTGCATTCATCCAGCCCATACTTCTTTAACTTGCTGACAAGAATACTGTGGGAGACCGTGTCAAAAGCTTTGCTAAAGTCAAGAAACAATACATCCACTGCTTTCCCTTCATCCACAGAACCAGTAATCTCATGATAGAAGGCGATTAGATTAGTCAGGCATGACCTTCCCTTGGTGAATCCATGCTGACTGTTCCTGATCACTTTCCTCTCATGTAAGTGCTTCAGGATTGATTCTTTGAGGACCTGCTCCATGATTTTTCCAGGGACTGAGGTGAGGCTGACTGGCTTGTAGTTCCCAGGATCCTCCTTCTTCTCTTTTTTAAAGATTGGCACTACATTAGCCTTTTTCCAGTCATCTGGGACTTCCCCCGTTCGCCACGAGTTTTCAAAGATAATGGCCAATGGCTCTGCAATCACAGCCGCCAATTCCTTTAGCACTCTCGGATGCAACTCGTCCGGCCCCATGGACTTGTGCACGTCCAGCTTTTCTAAATAGTCCCTAACCACCTCTTTCTCCACAGAGGGCTGGCCATCTATTCCCCATGTTGTGATGCCCAGCGCAGCAGTCTGGGAGCTGACCTTGTTCGTGAAGACAGAGGCAAAAAAAGCATTGAGTACATTAGCTTTTTCCACATCCTCTGTCACTAGGTTGCCTCCCTCATTCATTAAGGGGCCCACACTTTCCTTGGCTTTCTTCTTGTTGCCAACATACCTGAAGAAACCCTTCTTGTTACTCTTGACATCACTCGCTAGCTGCAGCTCCAGGTGCGATTTGGCCCTCCTGATTTCATTCCTACATGCCCGAGCAATATTTTTATACTCTTCCCTGGTCATATGTCCAACCTTCCACTTCTTGTAAGCTTCTTTTTTATGTTTAAGATCTGCTAGGATTTCACCGTTAAGCCAAGCTGGTCGCCTGCCATATTTACTATTCTTTCGACACATCGGGATGGTTTGTCCCTGTAACCTCAACAGGGATTCCTTGAAATACAGCCAGCTCTCCTGGACTCCTTTCCCCTTCATGTTAGTCCCCCAGGGGATCCTACCCATCCGTTCCCTGAGGGAGTCGAAGTCTGCTTTCCTGAAGTCCAGGGTCCGTATCCTGCTGCTTACCTTTCTTCCCTGCATCAGGATCCTGAACTCAACCAACTCATGGTCACTGCCTCCCAGATTCCCATCCACTTTTGCTTCCCCCACTAATTCCTCCCGGTTTGTGAGCAGCAGGTCAAGAAAAGCTCCCCCCCTAGTTGGCTCCTCTAGCACTTGTGCCAGGAAATTGTCCCCTACGCTTTCCAAAAACTTCCTGGATTGTCTATGCAGCTTTGCCTTTGGGGGTTAGCTGGGAACGAGGAACCGGGGGTCGGGGCCGAGGGGCAGCGTTGGCGGGGGAGAGGCGGAAGCGGCAGCTCTGGGTGGCAGCAGGGTGCAGGGGAGAATGTGTCCGGAGTCGTGCTTTTTCCTACATCATGTGTGGCTTGCGCTGTGCTCACCCAGGGGTGCTCCCGCTCCTGCTCCCAAACGCCGGCGAGGCGCCCGGCAGGCGGGGGTGTGCACGAGCCATCGCAGCAGGGTTTGTGGGGACGGCAGGGAGTTTTTGTTGACCTCAGAGGACTGGGGTGCTGGTGACTTATAGGGAGCCCAGGGCCAGCAGGCTGACCCTGCAGAAGAGCTGGGGCCAAGCTGGGGAGGGACCTAAGTTTGGTCCAGTTTTGGGTCGGGGGGGGGGGGAAGGGGAAGTGACCATTTTCAAAATGTTTGTGACATTTATCCCCTCCCCTCCCCTCTTTTCTTTTCAAGCAGCCAATTAACATTTTCCAAAATGATCCCTATTTTAAATCTTTTACGTTTCAAAATAATTTTTTTTAAAAGGGGGCAGGGGTGGGGCTGGCCTTCCCCGGCCTGGGACCAGTTTGCTCCAGTAAGATAAAAATCCCTCTTGCCTAGAACGTCACTCTCCTACTGACCTCTCGTCTTTGGCTCCAGTTTGCAACTAGATTTTTAAACTAAAAGCGTGATACGAGGAGGATTGTTTTTTTTTGAAAGGAGACTCGGGGTAATATTTTCATAAGTGCCTAAGTCCCATTTCCAAAAGTGACTTAAACCCTTGGGAGCCTAAATCCTCTTGACTTTCAAAGAGATTTAGGAGACGTTTTGAAAAAAGTGACGAGTAATTTTGGTCCCCGCCCCCCTTATGTTTTGCATACCCAAGTCAAGCCATCTTAACGCGGCTCACCGCGCAGAAGGTGGGCGTGCAACGCTTTGTGCAAATCCGCTCGCTTACCCACGCCCAGCTGTGTGCACAGAACTCAGATGCTCTGACTCATGAGTCTCTTCTGACAATGGGACTTTGGAGCTGAGGGGGTAAAATTTTTAAAAGCAGCTGAGTGACTTAAGAGCCCAAATCCTATTGAAAGGCCATAAAACTCAGGCTCCAAAGTCACATTTGAAAATGATCCCAAGTGACGCAGGTGCTTTTGAAAATTCCGGCCAGCGTTCGGTTAGTCTGGTGTAAATTACGGTACAAGACCAGCCACAGCAGCTGTGCTATTCCCTCTGATCGCGGCCTCACGCTTTGGGCCCAGAGTGGTTTGTCTGTACGGTGAGACACGTGTAACCCAGAATAGGAACAAGCTCATCCCAGGGTCTCGAGTTAAATCTTTCTAAAAATCAGTCCACTTCGTCGCTTAGGCAGCTATGAGTCAAGCGCGCCTGCCGATCCGATAGGAGGGAGGCAAACACAGCCTGGTTAGGATAGGGAAACATTGATGATCAACTGGGCCTTGCAGCCCTTCCTCACTGGAGCAGGTTGCATTGGTGGTCCTGATGCTGCAGCCTAGCTGACAAGTTTTCTAATCTCCCATCTACACCAGCCCTTTAAAATGAGCTTGTGTGGGCTACACTCATGCTCCCTTCTGGCTCAGGTTACAGTGTGATCATAATCCAGTCTGGCCCCATTCACAGTGGGGTGGAAAAGCCAACATAGTTGGGACCAGTAGATTGATCTGAGCCTCCTCCTAGGTGGGGCCTTTGTCCTGCTATAGTGCTTGGCCTTTTGGTACCTTTATTAAAGGGACTGGCTACCCAGCAGTCACCTTGTGGTTAGCTGCTAAAATAACATCTATCAACTGTCATGCTTCAGAACTGGAGCTATGATTGCTGCATGGGTCAGGAAGGAAATTCTCTGTCCCATTACATGCAGGTGCTTGATGCATGTCCTTTCTCTGATCCCCCAGCTATCAGCCACCATGGGAGGCCCAGGGGCTGATTCACTCTTTCCTTTCACCTTGTGCAGCCACTTACTGCAAATCACCACTTTTCTCACTAGGGAGTGGTGCGCACCCACTGCGCAAGTGACAAGATGGGTGTGCAGTGCCACCACATCAGAGCATTCCTTTTATGCGTTCCTTTTACCCAGCTGTATATGATGATGCAAGGCACGAGGCACTGAAGAATTGGGCCCAGAGGCTCCTGGCCTTGTCTACATCCAGGATAATAACAATACCTAGCTCTTACATAGCAGCTGCACGGGTTTAACGTAAGTTGGTTCTTAAAGTGCTACAAACCCTTGTGTGGATACTGCTGGTTCAGTTTACGTTAACCCTGTTCTCAGTCAGCTGAAGCTAAACCCAAATAAGCCTAGTTTAAACTGAACTGTGTCCACGTAGCATTTTGCACGAGATGAAAAATCGCTCTCAAACTGATGCCATCCTCCACCTGGCCAGCGGCCCTGATTCTCCAGGGCAAATCCTTAGCTTGTAATAAAAGATGACACCTTTGTTTAATTAAGCTTTGTTAATGGAAGAAACATTGTGCCCTTTCATGCTGCCAGAGAAGTAGAGGAAGGATAGCTCAGTGGTTAGAGTACTAGCTGGGCTAGGGAGCCTGAGCTAGGTTCAATTCCTACCTCTGCCACAGATTCCCTGTGTGACCATGGGCAAGTCACTTAGTGGATGTCTACATTCCCTGCGGCAGTATGACTGCAGCGTGGATAGACAGGCCCAATCCAGCTAACTGGAGCACTGATAGCAGTGAAGGCTAGAGCACAGTCCGGGGGGCTGAGTGGGTTTGTACAGCCCCTGGTGCTGCAGCTTTATTGCTATTATTATTCAAGCGAGCGAGATCACAGCTAGGTTGGCTATGTCGACACATGCTGCACTCCTCTGATCACAGGATAGACAGACTCTTTGTCTCTCTGGGCCTCAGTTTCCCTACCTGTAACTTGCTGCACAGTAGGGCTGTGAGCATTAGACATTGTGATGTGCTCAGATAGCCCAGCTGGGGAGCTAGGTAGCTAAGAGAGACACAAAAAACGCTTCCTTTCAGGTATGCTTGGTCCCAAGCTTGCGCGAGGAGGGGAAACTGAGATCTGGTATAAAATTATAAATAATGAAAAATATACTACTCTTAAATATCTCCTAAAATGTAAAAAAATACAACTCTCGCTTAAAATGATACAGCAGGACGTTTCCCCCCTTGGTGTACACCACGCTTCTCTACGTATCTGAATAGAATTGGCGACCTAGCTCTAGTGTCTAATGCAGACCGAAGTGACCTTAAACTGACAGCCCCCTCCCCACGTGCAGTGTGTTTCCCTGTTTAGCTCTGCAGCGAAGGCAAGATATTTAATTCCCCGTTTTGGAGCTCGGCTGGTATGCATTACACCAAAGAGCCCCAGCAAAACCGACACAGGTGCTGGTCAATTTCATCCCTTGTTTAAAATACAAATTTTGGCTGTGTGTGTGTCCAGCTGCTATAATTAGATTAATGGGCACCGGGGACCACATGCCATTCAGATCTTTGGATGATGACACAAAGAGACACATCTAGCTATTAAAGCATGGAACCTGCATGGGCCCATTGAGCGATTAACCTACAATGTGACAATTAGTGGGCTTTGCTATGCAAATGGGTTATAAAATACAACCAGAGAACCTGGACATTCCCACCCCCCCCTTCCTCCAATCAAAGTTGCCCTGAAGTCCAGATTCTGCTCTCTTAGACTGGTATGATGGGGATTTACTCCAAGATTTACCCCAGGGTAACAGAGAGCAGCATAAAGACTTAGCCCAGGGCATTATTATGATGTTTTGAAATTAAGAATTGCACTGTCGCCGTGCAAGGTAGAGATCTGGTTTTAAAAAGCTTATTTCCTTCCACACCACCATTGGGGGGTCCTGCTGCTTGTTAGAGTTCAGGGGTGGGGGGTTAGGTTAATTGAAGATCTGGGTTGGAACTCACTCACCATCCGGATTTTAGGCCCTCTAGCACGCGCTTAAATATTATTGACCTCAGTGGGTGAATGTGCATAAAACGCTCTCCTGCCATCTGGGCTCAAGCCTCCCTCTTGGGCAAGGCAACGGGCTTGTGTCTCTTCCAGCGCAAGGTCAGAACAGACTCAAGTGCCTCTACCCCCTTGCTGACAGCGGAAAGGACACGGCAGGGATCCTCCCCTCATTGTTTCCAAGCCACAAGATGGGGCAGATGCTGAGACATCTGCCTCAGGTCAGCTGGGGTTTTAAAGAACATTTAAATTCTCAGCTACAACCAGCGCGTGCGCGAAAGGAGCCCCCCTCCCCCAAGAAAGCTTCTTAGCCTCCTGGTTCCTGGACAGTGCTGGCTTTATAGCGCAGAGAATTAAAGGGCCAGCATGTGACACCCAGCTGACTCCATGACCTTGGAATAAAAACCATACATTAGTCCTAAGGGGAGAAGGAGGCCAGGGTGTGCATCCACTCTGTGCCCATAGATGGCGCTAGATGGCTGCTTCAACGAGGTTGCTGTTCTCCACCCAACACCCACTGCTGCTGATCAGTGTGGGGCCTTTGCAACCCACAACAGGGTTTCTTTAAAATAGCCCCTTGTGGCCCCTAACTACCTCTGACCTCACTGCTCCTTCAGCTGAGCAATACCTTCGCCCAGTGAGTCCTGGACACACGCGCTGAGCAAAAATCTTCGAGGCATCTTACGCCAAGCCCTGGGCAGCCGCACTGTCCCTCCCGCCCTAGCTCTGCCTTCATCTGCAGCAGGAAAGAGGAAAGCAAGAAAAGCCAGCCAGAGCTGGGGCAAAGGCTCTGGGTGCCTTCGGGGCTTGGCCCGTCTCTAATGAGCAAGGCGCGGTGCTTTGGGTTTTGCAAAAGTAGAGCCCGCTTGCGTGGAGCCATTGCACCTTAAGTGCTACGTTCTGATCCTCCCCTGGCTTTAGCTGCCCTCAGACTCTAGGGGGTTCCCTCTGGCAACCATCCAAGGTAATAGATTTTCAAGGATCTTACTCTCCCTGTGGCCCTGATGGTTAAGAGATGCCATTGCTCCATTTTCCCTGGTAGACCTGTCTGAAGGGGTGGAACTGCCCCACCCTTCAATGAGCAGCCCCCCCCTCCCCCCCCAAAAAACCCCTCTGCTCCAAGCTGGATGCATGGTTTGCACCCTTGCAAAGCTGTTCCTGAGTAGGAATGAGAAGAGGAACAATTGTCCTGGGGCCCCAAGCACAGCGGGCTCCCAAAATGTCTGTAGCTGGGGTGAAATCAGAGGAGGCAGACCCCAGTGAACCTGACGTATTAGGGCCCCTTCTCTGGGCAGGCCTGGATGCAAGTTAATTAAATCTGGAGGCGGAGGGTGAATTCATAGGCAAGCGTTCCTGAAAAGGACGGGAGGTGGAGGGGGTGGGGGTGTAGCAAAACACAATCATGGGCCTGCTGAGACATGGGACAGAGCCCTAGGCACTCATGGTCTTTCCTCTCTTTTCCCACATCTACAACCCAACGCCCCTGCTGGGTGACGCTAAATGCGCCCCCTCCCCAGGCCAGCTGCATCAGTCGAGGACATGAAAAATCGGCAGCCCTGCGTGCCGTGCGGAAGACTGCATGGGAGGACTGCTTCCATCGACGTTGCTACTGGCCTGCGAGGAGGTGGCGTTCTTACATGGATGGAAAAACCCCTTCCGGTGCCAACAGGCTGCATCTGCACCAGGGCTTTCCATTAGGTTCCATCAATGGGGTCAATCCACCTCCCTGAGAGGCCGGGGCTAGGTTGATGGAAGAATTCTTCCTAGGAGCAGCTACCTCTGGGGTTAGGTCAACCTAAGTAAGAGACGCAGGGTACGAGATTTTTCTTGGCCCTGAGCGACATAGCTGGGTCGATCTAATTTCTTTTAAGTGTAGACCAGACCTTGGTGTCGACCACGGAACGGGGGGAGGGCAGAGAGACAGGCGGCTACAGAATTAAATACACGAAACGCCTAATCGGAATGAGCAGCAACCCACAGACAAGACAGAGGTTAGTGTCACTCTCAGGCCAGCTGGGCTGCTGGCCTAGCATGGTGGAGCCTTGATCTCATCTTGGGGAATCACAGGTGCTACTATCACACCCCTTCCCACGCCCCCACCCCCAGCCCCAGCTGTGTTTCTGGATGGCCGCTGTGGGGAGGGGCTTGGGGAGAATTAAAAAAAACAACAACAACCACAATCCCTAAGCTTCAAAGTCAAATTTTCTCCCCCCACACAGAAAAAACAACATTTAAAATCCCTGAATAAACAATATTAAAAGAAACCGAGCATTGCTGTCTTGTTCATCTGCAATGGATAACTGGAAGAGGGGAATCTCCTTGGATTAGCGCGTTAAATTCGGTCCAGTTACAGAGGGATGTCTGAGCTGATGTGGGTCCAAAGGAGAAAAAAGAATGCTACTTTGCCCTCACATACAGCACCGTTTCTCTAAAGCACTCAACAGAAGGATGCCAGTATCATGATCCCTGTTTTACAGATGGGGAAACTGAGGCACAGAACATTGGGACAATCCACCCACCAGAGCCAAGGATGGAACCGCTGCTCTGACACAGCTTCTGCCATGCCGATGAGAGCCTAGACCTGCTGCCTGCAAAATGTATGAATGCCCAATACCACTAGAGCCGACAGGGGTGTATGCCTGCCGTGCCTGGTGTGGCTCGACCAGACATTTGTGACACCAGCGAGACATGATGCAAGGGCACGTGCGGATCAGGATTTCAAATTCGGTTCACGTGACACAGAGGAACCACTTAGCTCTGCCGATTTGCTCCTGCAAACCTGGTTTAGAAGCCTGAAATGGATGCTTTGTTAACACCTGAAATCGATGCTACTTTACATATGACTCAAAGGGCCCCGAAAAAGCAGGGGGAGGGAAGTAGGGGGGGGGTGTTTGCGTTGCTCTCCACACACCACAGGTGCCCGATGAAAAAAATAAATGAGGATTCGGAAAATATTACACAGCCAAGATCCATGAGCACACATTGCACGTACTACTAGTTTACACCCACGTGTGTAAAATTAAATGGATCACGTGTTCACCAGCACACACCCTAGAGCCAGTGCCACAGAGGGGTTCCAGGTTACTGCCCAGTGACAGGGTGCCTAGACATTAGATGTCCCCTTGAGGAGCTGGCCCTAGCCCCTAGCATCCAGCTCTGATCAGGAGCTAGGTCAATTGGCGCCTGCCCAGTTAATCAGTTCACACTGCCGGGGCTGGACCGTTTCCAGCCTGAATTTAGTGCAAAGAGGTTATTTCCCCCCCTCTCCTTCTCAGTCAAGTTTTATTCCCTCCTCCCCCGACTCCCTCAACGAATGAGCCGATTCTCACACACGTAATGACACCAAAAAAAGAGGGAAGAGGAGCCGGGGGAGGGGGGGGAGCGAAAAAAAATAAAATAGTCAAAATCAGAAAATCAGACATTTCACAGTGTCTAACAACTCTAATCTCCCTGGAGCGGGGGAGAATCGGAAGGGGCGGGGTACGCCCCACTCACTGCAACACCTGCCCCCGCGTCTCCGGCAGCCTCAACGCTAGCGAACTGCCCACGGCCAGCGCGGTCGAGGCCAGCAAGATTGGCACGGCTTTCGTGATGCCGACGAAGGAGGTGAAGCTGCTGATGCCCAGGACGGCCGCCAGCTTGCAGAGGGCATTGAGGAACCCGAAGGCTGTCGTCCTGGAGAAGCGGGGAGAGAGGCTGAGGTTACAGGCGAGCTAAAGGGTTTGGGTGGGGGGAGAAGGCTGGTATGTGCGCGGGGGGGGGTTAATGGCCCCTTTCTCCCTAAAAGGTGGAGAACAAGCAGGGTCACAGCAGCAGCCGTCCAGAGTAATCTGACTGCATTTCAGCCTCGTGGCCTGGGAACCTAGACCCCTGCATTCTATTCCTGGCTCTGCCACTGATCTACTGCAGGACCTCAGCCAAGTCCCTTCCCCTCGCACCCTTTCGCCATTTCAACTGTGAGCGCTTTGTGGCAAGGCCTACCTCTCTCTCGATATATGTACAGCACCCGGCACAATGGGGCCCTGAACTCAGCTGGGGCGCAGATGCTACCCATAACAGCCAGTGATGGAGAGGGGAAAGGAGTTTTATTTTACACACACACATCTCTCTCTCTCTCTCTCTCTCTCTCTCTCTCTCTCTCTCTCTCTCTGTTTAAAGCTCTGCTGTTCGCATGTATTTTTCTATCAGGAAATCAGTCGCCCCAGTGTATTTAACACCGATTACGACAAAGCTCTGGTGTCTGGTGTAAGCTACTGTAAAATGCTTCAATGACAGTCCCTGCGTTCTAACTTTAGCTGCAAACTCTGCAGCCCGCCTCTAGTCAGCACAAGGGCCCAGCTTCCATTCCCCCCGACCTGCTGGGTGTGGGGGGCTCCTCCTTCCAGGAGCCCCCAAACCCCCTGCTAAAGCAAAGTCTGGTCCATTTAATGCCTTAATGCCTGGAGCAGCTCCCCAGTCTCTGTACTCAGCCACCTGCCCGCCTCTCCCTTCCTACTGTCTACTTCCAGCCTTCGGCAAGCTGCAGTCAAAGATCCCCTTTTCCTACGGGTCTGCAAAAAGCCGAGCACAAATGGATCAGGCACAAGGGCAGCCCAGACCACCACCTGCCGCCCATGGATCAGTGCCCTTCGCTCTCAGTGACGGGCCCTCCAGGCAGCCAAGGCCCAACCTGGCAGCTCTGGGCACCAGTTGTGCCTGCGCGATTTCTCCCCCGCAATCAGCGGTGTCAGCAGGGGGCAGCTGCAGTGACTCACAGCCCCAGGTGAAAGGGATGTGCGTCATGGCTTGGCCTGGAAGTGGCGCCCTTGAGCCCCTCTAGTTGACTGCATTGGCAATACCTTGTCCACGTTCAGTCTCAAAGCAGCAGCCTCCCTCCCCACCCCCCGCATGCAAATGTTGATGTGCTCCCAGAATCCTTTGTGGGCCTTCCCTAAGCACAAAGGTTTATGGGGAACCCCTGGCATCTCGTGGGGGAGGGGGGGGGCAGAACAAATTGGCAGGCCAGGGAGAGGGGTTGGGAGCCGATTGCTGCCAGCTGGCAGGCTTATTGGGATTGGCATAAAATCTCCTCAGTGGTCCCATTCTCAGAGTCAAATGCACCCATGCCATCTACAGTCAGTGCCCAATTCACAGAGGAGAAAACTGGGGTACAGCAAGAGGAAGTGACAAGTCTGTGCAGCCAGGCAGAGGCAGAGGTGGGAAGAGGACTCCCCAGGAGTCCTGTGCCCCAGTGCTCTACTCTGCCCAGTAGACACCGCTCCCCACCCAGAGCTGGGACTAGAACTGGCTGAAAAAGAGGGGAAGGGGGCTTCCTTTCTGTGAAAATGTGTCCAGTTTTAAGAATATAAGGACAGCCATACTGGGTCAGACCAAAGGTCCATCTAGCCCAGTGTCCTGTCTTTCAACAGTGGCCAATGCCAGGTGCCCCAGAGGGAATGAACAGAACAGGTAACCACCAAGTGATCCATCCCCTGTCCCCCGTTCCCAGCTTCTGGCAAACAGAGGCTAGGGACACCCTCCCTGCCCATTCTGGCTAATAGCCCTTGATGGACCTGTCCTTCATGAATTTATCTAGTTCTTTTTTGAACCGTTATAGTCTTGGCCTTCACAACATCCTCTGGCAAAGAGCTCCAAAGGTTGACTGTGTGTTGTGTGAAGAAATACTGCCTTTTGTTTGTTTCAAACCTGCTGCCCATTAATGTCCTTGGGTGATCCCCAGTTCTTAAGGAGTAAATAACACTTCCTGATTCACTTTCTCCACACCCGTCATGATTTTATAGACCTCAATCATATCCCCCCCCCCTTAGGCATCTCTTTTCCAAGCTGAAAAGTCTGAATCTTATTAATCAAAATGTGCACTCCCAAAGCAGGGTGAAATGTCAAAACTGTGGAAATTTTCATGGAAACGGGCTTAAGGAAAAATTCCATTTGTTAAAAACTGAAATGGAACTTTTTGGCTTTCCAGCTGCCCTCAGGGAAGGCTCTAGTTAATTTCGTGTGAAATTGACAAGTACCTTCCCATCCCACTGCTGGAGGGGCAAAGAGCCCTGCCACACTGCCTCCCTGTGAACCGCCCTCAGCTCTAGGCACCCGAGAGGGTGACCAGACAGCAAGTGTGGAAAATCAGGAGAAGGGCTGGGGGTAATAGGGCACCTATAGAAGACAAAGCCCCAAATATCAGGACTGTCCCTATGAAATCGGGACATCTGGTCACCCTAGCACCAGAGCATTGCTGCTCATCCCACAGAGCCGGGGTGGGAGGGGGGGAGCCAGGGGAACCCTGGTCTTTGTGTCTCTATCCCCTAGAGCTGGCGTTCAACAAAGGTATGGTCAAATCTGTGGCTGATTTGGCTCAAGATTTCACTCTGCCACATTGGCATTTTCCAGCAAAATTAAGTTTAGTGGCTTCTGCTCTAACCACTAAACACTCCTCCTGGGGCTGGGAATAGAACCCAGGAGTCTTGACTCCCAGTCATTCTGCTTTAGCCATTGGGCCGCCTTCCCTCCCGCCAACATGCGGGGGCCTTCGAGCCCTAACAACTATTTATCGTTACTGCATTGTGTCCCCAAAGCTACCAGATTGCGGCGGTGACCCAGGATTCCTCCTTCTCAGCCACCCTGAGGTGGCTTCATGGGACCAGCCCCTGTCTGGACTGGGTGTCCCGGGATCAGGACTTGCTCTGCCTTGGGTGGATAACGGAGGCGGGGACTTGTACCTTTTGTCTGAGGGGTAAAGCTCCACTGTCAGTACATCCAAGGCGTTCCAGGAGGCGATGCTGACCCCCCCAAAAAGGCAGAGCAGGGCAATCATGGCTGACTCGCTGTTCCCGAACGACAGGAAGAAGCAGCTGATGCACGACATCACGCTTGAGCCGGCTGCAGCAGGACGAGGAGAGGCGTGTTAGGCGCGGGTACAGGCCTCGCTGGAACTGTACCTGGTCAGAGCCAGCATCACCCGCCTGGTGCAAGAGCCTTCTCCTATGCATCAGCCTCCAGCGGTCCTGCAAGGCCTCCTGACCATCCCCTCTGCACAACCCAGTGCAAGGCCCTTCTCTTCTGCAGCCTCCCTGCCCTACCCACCATCTCTCACCAGCTTCCTCTTTGCTCCTTCGTTCTGCCGGTGCAAAAACCACTGACTCTGCAATTCTGCCAGGCCCTCTGGCTACAAGAGGCAGCTGGGGCAGCTGGCCCGAATGGTGCAGGGTTGCAAATCCTAGCTGTGCCCCTGCTCTGCATGGAGAAGTTTCCCCTGGGAAAGTTTCAGTGGGAACGGCTGATGCCTATGGACCAAGAGGGTCCAGTTCAAGCATCAGCCAAGGAATAGAGCCAGTTGGGAATTTTTCAACTCAACTTTTTTTTTTTTTTTTCGGTAGGAAAATGGATTAATTGAACCTGTTCTTGGGAAAGGGTCAGATCTGATGAATTTCCCATTTCAGACAGTTTGTGGAGCTCTGTCTTTCAGCTTAAAAGGACTTTTCATTTTGAAACATTGTTTGTTGATGATAAACACCCATATTTTCAGAAGAGAAGAGGTGGAAATAAAAACGAAACATTTTGAAACGATCGAAACATAATGTGTCACTGGCCGGCTTCGGAAAGAAAATATTCCGATTTTCAGTGCGGGACAATTTTTAAGATTTCAAATTTTCGTCCCGAATCTGGATGGGGGCAAAATTTTGAAATCTCAAAAATTCTCACGGGCTGGGGAAACCTTTCCTTCCCAGCTCTCCCAAGGAGGCATGCAGCCAGCCTGGGGACTCTGTTAAGGGGTGAGACCCTCTCTAGCCAGCAGGGGGCAGAGGCAACTTCAAGCCACAGGAAAGCTGGATTAAAGGGGCGGGGGTCAATTTTTGCTCCTGCAGCCAGGGTCTACAGGGGGATCAGTGCAGAAGGAACAGACTATCCATACCCCCATGCTGCCACCACCACTCCCCCCGCCAGTTCCCAGGCAGCATCCCCGCCCCTTACCCAGCATCCGGAGGCGCCCGATCTTGTCCATGAGCAGGGCCGAGACAATGTTCCCTGGCAGCACGGCCAGGGTGCCCAGGAAGCTGACAAAGTAGATCATGTAGGCATTGTTGTCGTCGCTGAAGTCCAGCTGGCAGCCTTCTTTGTTGTGCAGGAAGGTGCTGTTGATGATTTTGGTGTTGATGAATTTGTACTCAAACAGGTCTGTGGAGAGGGAGAAGACGACACTGGGCATGGCCTTGCACTGAGCTACAGAGCGATTGGCAGGCTGTTTGCCCCTCCCACCAAGCACTGGGGGATGCGGGAAGATGGGCTGAGATGCAGCCGCCTCTGAGGTGGAGCGCAGCTGCTATTTAATGACCACACATCAGCATTGCACAGGGATGCTCTCCCAGCTCTGCAGTGCAGCCATGCCACCTCTGGGTTGGACCACAGCTGCTGCTTAATGGATGGACCCAGCACTGAAAAGGAAACCACTTCTGATATGCAACATGGCTGCTGTTTAGCGGCCTCACCGCAATGCCGCACACTGACACTCACCCACCACTGAAAAGCAGCCACCTCTGGGACAGAACACGGCTGCTGTTTAGGGACTACACAGCAACGCTTCACAGGGATTGCTCACCCCCTTCTGAAATGCAGCCCCCTCTGAAGTGGAACACAGAGGCTTTTCAACAGCATGCAGCAGTGCTGGGAGTGGAGATAGAAATGCAGGGGAACTGTAAGCCACCAGGGTGTCATTAATCAAGGGGAACTTGACCGGGACTAACAGTTTTGTGTTTTGCAGACCAGCCCAGGGATTCTTAATCAATATGAACAGCCGGGCGCCTGGGTTTTAATGGCTAGGTCCAACCCACCAGAGGGCAGAATCAGTCAGTGCGACATTGCAATACACGGAGGGTTGGACACAGAAGTCACGAATGGTCATTTGTTCGCACACACAGGGCCAGCCTTGGAGCAGCGTCTGTCCCAGCTGAAGATGGCTTTTTTGGGGCGGGGGGATAAATTTACCAGCTGTTTGCTTCCCCTTCAACAGCGTTTGTTGATGCCTTTCAGAAAATACGTGGGTTAGCAGCTCCAGCTGCCTGATCTCTCGTTGTCTAGGGCTCCCCTCCCAAAGCCCATCAGAGTCTATTCAGTGCTGAGTCACCGCGAAGCAGCTAATTAGCACGGCCCAGAGGATATTGAGCAGCAGCCTCACAGCAAGTGCAGCAATCTCTAGCCCCACAGAGGGCCGGGTGGAGAATTAAGGCCCGAAAACAAAACAGCCCTGGCCCAATCCTTCTCCGCCCTGAACCTTGCCCAGCCATTTCCATCAGTGCAAAGTGGTTCCCAGATGCTGCCTGGTAACATTTTACACCCCCTTTGCATCAGTGTGTGTAAATGGCTGCAGATGGGGCCAGGGCAGTGGAGAATCAGGCCCCCTGTTTGTTCCCCCATCATGTTCATGTCGCTTGCCCTCCCCTTCAAGGGACCCCAAATGCAGCATCTGCGCTGGTTAGGCTAGTGAACACAAGGGCTATTAATCCTCATGCTCCATGGCACAAGCTGACCACCAGCTGGCCGGTCAGGAAGGAACCTCCCCTATGAGGTATACTATTAGCCAGCAAGGTCCAGTGTTGGAGATTTCAGCCTGTCTCTAAGGGCATGTCTACACTTCAAAATACGGTGTGTCCTTAACATGGGTTAACTAACCCACATTGGCTAACTCGGGTTCAAATAGAAGTGAAGACACGGCAACTTGGCTTTTAACTGCACTTCGTGTCTCAAGTTCAGTCCCTGGCTGCCCTGTAAACTTGAATTTGAGCTGCTGACCCAAACTGCCAGGGCTGTACTGCTATGTTACCCTGAGTCAGTGAACCCAAGTTCAGAACAGACCTTTGCAGTGAAGACATAACCTAAAAGCCAGCGAGTCAATGTGGCCCAGTGGGTCTGGTACTGTCTCAGTGGGTCTCAACCTATTTACCATTGTGGGCCACATCCTATACTATCTGTATGGCCCTGAGGATGTCACATGGGCCGCAGCTCTGTGCTGATTGGGCCAGGTTGAGAACCACTGGTCTAGATGGCCCATCGACTTGTTACAGGGCAGCAGGAAGTTACCTGTGTTGTAGAAGACAGTGGAGATGAAGGAGCAGTTCTTGAAGAAGGTGTTGCTGGAGGTGATGTCTTCGAAGTAGCACTCCTCAAACAGGGAGTCCTCAAAGGAGACGGATTTCAGCTTGAGGCCGATGAACCTACCAGGGACGAACCCGGGGACTGAGCAACCCAAGAGCGACTGGGATAAAGGGTGTGGGACGTGTGGGTCTCCCTCCATCACGGGGGAACAAAAATGGTTTCTGGACCTGCTAAGCCAGACACTGGATGTTCGGCGACCCTTCTGTGCAATGAGTTTGGTGGGTCTCAGTTCAGTCCCTATTGGATGAGTAGCCACAACTGGGAGTTAATTAAGTATTTGCAATTGGCACAGCAGATAACTCAAGACTTGCATGGACTCTGGGGGTCCATAAAGGTAGGAGTTGGTGTGTGGTAGGGTGGGGGTTCAAGCTTGCCCTGTTGATGCCCACGTTCTGGATACACAAAGGATCCCAACCTCTAGGGCTGCACTCCTGGTGAGGTTCTGGCTGCATTTCCCTCAGCACCTATTTATTTATGCACACCCCTCCTCTCGAGCCCAGAGACCTCCTCCCAGCACTGGCTAGGCTCGCTATCCCCCAGTGCAGGCACATGCTGCCCATTCTCTGCAACCACGGGGCCATGTTAGACCCCACCAACCTCCCAGTGTCTTTGCAGGCTCTGCCCAGTATAGGGATGCCTGGTTGTTTTCCGTGAGCACGTCCCCCTGCTCCCCGCCCCAGCACCTCGGCCCATCAAGGGTCAAAGAGGGCTCTGGCTAAGTGCCCTGGGGGTGAGGAGGGACGACCCACTACTCACTTGTCGTTGAAGTATTCACCATTGCGGTGGATCTGGTTCTCCAGGGTGAAGTTGAAGGTGAAGTGTTCCACCTTCTCGCGGGTGAAAAGCTTGGTGCGGGAGGCATATTCGATGTTCTGTAAATGCTTGATCATGTCTGGGAACCAGACGGTCAAGCCGTAGTAACTATCAGAATGAGAGAGAGAGAGAGATCAGTACTGATTGTCTGTAGTGGCTAGGAGCCTGAGTCATGTACTAGGACCCCATTGTGCTAGGAGCTGTACATTGTTATTGCTATTAGGTGCATTATGGTAGCACTAGCACCCTAAGTCATGGAGCAGGCGCCCAGTGTGCTTCATGCTGTACACTGCTATTAGGTGCATTATGGTAGCACGAGGACCCTCACTCATGGGACAGGAACCCAGGGTGCTAGGAGCTGTACAAAGAAGGAACAAAACTCAGGCTCTGCCCCAAGGCACTCACAATTAGCGCTGAAAATGGTTTCCTGGGAGATTTTTGAAAAATGTTCCGGTCTCAACTCAGGATGAAAAGATGAAATCTCAATTTTTTTTCACAAACTGAAAAAAAACCCCAAAACCCCTGCTGTTCAGGTCACTCAGACAGCTTCATTTTGATCCTTTTGAAATGCTTCATTTCCATTTTGACCTGTTTGTTTTTCTTTTTTAAAAACTTTTTTAAAAAAGTATAAATTAAGTTAAATTTCCAAACAAAAAGTCGTTTCCAACTGGAAACTAAACTTTTGGTTTCAAAAAGGTGGAAACATCCCGTTTTGATCCTTCTGAGGGTTTTTTTCCCAGCTGGGCAATTCATCACCTTGCCCCTTTCCTGCAGAACGATTCGGTTTCCATGAATCTGCAATTTTTTTTTTTGTTGCATAAATAAATTTCTCAGAAAAATCCCCAACCAGCTTGACTTACAATCTAAGTATCAGACAAGGGACCCAGGTCTCTCGAGTCCCAGTCCTGGGCTCTGTCTCCAATGTGTGCTGGATCTGGTTCTTAAATCTCAGCTAATAACAGGACAACCTATCCCAGCATGCTGCCCTGACAGCATGCCTCTGCGTGCATCCATTCTCCATGGACCATTCTGTCTTTGGCCTCTGTCCTGAGGCTGCCCACAAGGGGATGACTGTGACTGGGGAGCTCCACCCCTAAATCTGGGCTCAAACCCACCAAGCCTTTTCCCCAAACTCTTGTTGCTCTCTGCCATCCAAGGCTGGATTTGAACCAGCTGCCTGAAGGCCCCATAGTTGCCCCATAGAATGGGGTGCACCTGGCTCTCCCTGCACTGGGGGATGGCCAGTGGTGGGAGGAGGTCTCTGGGCTCGGTGGGGTGTGCATAAATAAATAGGTGCTGGGTTGTGGGGGCGGAGGGGCGGGCATGCTCATCAAGAGTGCAGCCCTGTAGATTGGGATCTTTTGTGTATCCAGAGCACAGGCACCAGCCGGGCATGCTTGGCCCCCCGCCCCCTCCACCCACTGACCCCCTGAACCAATCAGATGAGCCCCCTGCTGATTGTAATGTTGGCTTAAAGACAGCAGGAAAATGTACTAACCCCTGCATAGCTGGGGGCCCTTGGGGTGTTCAGAGAAAAATGGGGGAGGGAAGGGGAAAAAGAAATGGCCTTTCCTGCAGCGATTCTCATGGCAGATTCTCTGCACTGAGCTCCATGCTTCAGCACCAAGGACAGCTACTAGAGTCCAGAGTCTTCCTGAAGTCCTTCCCAAGGTGCGGTCAATAACACTGCCGGGAATAGAACCCAGGAGTCCTGACTCCTAGCCCTACACTATAGTCACGGGAGCAAATTCCCTCCCAGACACAGAAGCCAGGAGTCCTGATCCATCTCCAGGCTCCAACTCCAGCCACTGGATCACGCTCCCGCCTTCTGCCAACATATGGGGAGTTAATAGGCTTTCTTCTTAATTTTCAAAAAGAGGATAGATAGATAGATAGATAGATAGATAGATAGATAGATAGATAGAGGGGGTGTATGGGGATAGATAGATAGATAGATAGATAGATAGATAGATAGATAGATAGAGGGGGTGTATGGGGATGGATAGATAGATAGATAGAGGGGGTGTATGGGGATAGATAGCGGGAGTGTAGGGGGATAGATAGATAGAGGGGGTGTATGGGGATGGATAGATAGATAGATAGATAGATAGAGGGGGTGTATGGGGATAGATAGATAGATAGATAGATAGATAGAGGGGGTGTATGGGGATAGATAGAGAGATAGACAGACAGACCCTGGACAACCCGACTGACTTCTGTGGGGCTTTACGTGATGTGACCCAGCCATGTAGGCTTTGTGCTGGGATACAAGCCCCCTCTGATACAAGACACCCTGCCCCGGTTGCACGGCCCTGTTGCTGAGGTGGCCGAAAACAGAGAAGCCAGTTAACTACAGCAGCCACAGAGCCAAAGTCTGGCCGCTAAACTCAGTGGGGCTGCTTGGGCGTGAATGGCGAATCCCCACGCAACGGGGAAGCCACCGCCTCTCCGCCAGAGACTATTCCACAGCCTAGCAAGTCTCGCGGCTGCAGAAAAGGCTTTTCATTGTTAGCACGGCTTTCCCAGTTTTCCCTGTGCACAGCTCCCTCCTGGGGGAGGCCCGTCCGGCTGTAGGTGGAGCGTAAGAGCTTTGGCAGGGCTCGGGCTGCACCGGGCCTGTGCCGGGAAAGTCAAGGCGTGTGGCAAATAGCCCTTCCACCCCCTCCCCCATTCTGAAACATCCCCCTCCCCACCCCCCAGCCTCTCTGACAGCAGCTAAACCTAGCGTGAAATCCTGTTCTGGGAACAGCAGCTGGCAGGGGAGGAGGAGGGCGGATTCTGTGAGCGAGATGGATCCCACACTGAGCGAATAGCGTCTGGCAAGGAAGCACTCGAGCCAGGGGTAGGGGGGGAAGGCTCAGCAGTGCCCTGGGAGTGGGGGCGACGGGCTGGATGGGAGGCAGGGGGAACGTGGTTGGAGTCTGGACTTGTTAGCTGGGGGCTGGGGAGCACCGCGAGAGTGGCACGGCACCAGGGGGATCCTGGCTTATAGGGAGGGAGTCGGTTCATTTGTTTGAAGCCAACCAGAATGAGGGATGTTTGGAGCCAGAGCTTGCTGTGGGCCCAGGGGATGGGGGAGCTACGGTCACACAAAGCCACTGTACATCGCCAAGGAGAATCGGGGCCAGCTGAGCGCCATCCCCCTTTGTTGGCAGCAATAGGGCGGGGAAATGTCTTGGTTTGGGTCAGCACGTGGCGTTCTGGAGGTGGATCTGAACTCTCTGACTGAGAGGAGACTGGAGGGGTCATGGTGGGGAGGGTCTCTGACTCCCATCCTCTCTCCTCACCCTGCCCGCCTAGGGGTAGGCAATAGGCAGACGAGCCAAAGCCGGACTGCCAGATGCTTTTGAACAGGCACCAAAATCTTTGTATTTACTCATTACCACCATTATTGTTAATATTTTTGTATAATTTCCTCTGGAATCTGGACCTTGACCATACCTTGACCAAGAAATTTGGACCTTGACAAAAAATAATCGATTACCCCCCCATGTCTGCACTGGGAGCCTTTATGCTCGCTCATCCAATCGAAGAAAAGATGTGATACCATGTGACCCAACTGACCAGCAAACGCATGGGGACATCCCGCCAGCAGGAATAGGACAGCCTGTGGCCCCGTTTGCAGAGATGCCCAGCGCGTGGATTTCATGGGAGCTGCAAGCACTCAGCACCCAATTCCTTGGCGTGTTGCTCACTGCGAACACGGCCTCAGCAATTATCCAACCATCTCAATAACGGACCCACGCTTGTCCTGTAACACCCTTTAGTAGAGTAGTCCAGAGATCAGTTTGCTAAAGTTAATTGGCAATCAGCTAACTTGAATTAGAACAGGAGCAAGACACTCAATCCTTTGCGCCCACAAGCAAGACCCTGATTGCACAAGAGGAACGCCACGACAATCACCTCTCTGCCAGCTCCAACTGACAGGACTTTGCAGAGATCAATTACAGAGACACGGTTCCTGATTGGAGTCCTCACCAGCTCCCCGCGGCCTCGGCTGATATTGGCAGCTGAGCTCATTTGTCCCAAAAAAGCCAAGGAGGCAGATTTGTCCTCGCAGGGCCACTGTGCAAATTGGTGGCCTTTGATTCTCCTTATGATGCTGGTAATTGCTCCATGTACATTAAAGTCAATGAAATATTTAATCACAGCGATGACAAGACTGAAATCAAGGGGAGCTAGGCGCCTAAATACTTTTAAGGATCTGGACTCAGATCCCCAGCTGGTGTAAATTGGCCACCGCTCCAGAGGAGTTGCTGAGCCAGAACCCCAGCCAGGGTGTATCGGCCTCGTTCCGCTGTGTCCGCACCGATGTACACCAGGTGAGGATCTGGCCCGAGGAGTTTAGGCCCTGAAAATGTTACCTCAGCCTGAGCGGTGCTGGAATCTTCTTCAGCCCCTTCCTCCCCTTGACTATCACAGCTCCTTTCTCAGCCCCCGCCCCAGCTCCCCAGACCCCAGCAAGGACAGAATGCTGCTGCCCCGATCTCAGCCCCCCCCCCCAGCCCAGCTGTCCCCGCCCCGACGCTCACACTCCTCCACCTCCCCGCGTTCAAGGCAGGAGCCAACCCAGATTGAAATGCTCTGTTGGGGGTTTTGCCCCAAGTTTTCGATTTGCCGAAAAGTTAGAAAAGTTTCATTTTCGGTTCTACCCCAAACAGGTCCCCCCCCCCCGCCCCCCGACACACTTTTTTCGGAACCGCTGGAGAACTGAAAAAGCCGTTCTCCTGCTGGCCCTAACCAGAACCGCGGCTGACGCCAGCCCATTGGGCATGACCCGCTGCCGACCACAGCACGGCGCCGACTGGCTGCTGTAGAAGGAGCTCGGGAGAAGGGACGCGCACGGAGGACCTCATGCGAAGCCAGGCAGCATGAGCAGGGGGCGCGTGCCCCCTCTGGATTGCAGAGCTGTCCTCTGACCCTGGGCACCAACCCTACAGCGGGTGGGGCGGGGGTCTGATAAGGCACCAAAGTGGCTCAGGGGAACGTCGATACCCAGCTGCTGGAAAATCCCCATCAACCACATTGTATTAATCCCTACCCTGGGCACGCCCCATTCCCCTTCCCAGTGGCGACATCTTATGTCCCCCTCCTTCAGGCTGCATGGATTATACTTGCATCCCTCACAAGATCTACACCAGGGCGTGACCATCTCTCCCTAACAGAGACAGTATGTGTAGTGGTTAGAACAGGAGACAGGGACTTGGGACTCCAGGGTTTTGTTCCCAGCTCTGTGTGGGGAGCGGGGTCTAGGGGTTAGAGTGTGGGAGGGGAGCTGGAAGCCAGGACTCCAGGGTTTTGGTCCCAGCTCTGTGTGGAGTGGAGCCAAGAGGTTAGAGCAGGGTTGGGGCTGGGAGGCAGGACTCCTGGGTTGCGCTCTTGTCTCTACCACTGACACCCTGCCTGACCTTTGGGGAGTCACTTCCCCCTCACTTCCATGCCTCAGTTTCCCTGGCCGTAGCATGGGCATAACAGGATTCCTCCACATTTTGCAAAGCACTTTGTGGCCTTCGCGCCATGCAAAGGGGAAGCATCACTGAGCCCGGGATAATTTGTGGCTCAGAGGAGACCCTGGCCAATCCCCTCCCCCACTAGGAGCAGAGCCAGGAAGAAACAGACCCAGCAAGTCACACAGAGCAAACAACACTGGGGCCGAAATCATCTTTCCGGCCCCTCCCCCACCCCTCCCCCTGGGGTCCCCGCGCCCATCGCACCTGAAGGACATGGTGAACCACACAGCCATCATCATGAGAGTGACGCGCCGGTACTCGGGAGCAAAGCACTGCAGGAAGTTGCTCCAGACCTGAAGGAGGGAGAGACGGGGCGCGTGAAGGGACCACTCACCGCCACGCCAGCTCTGCTGGGGGATGGGCACAGACGGGGACATGCCCAGCTCCCAGCAGGGGCAGCTGGGGTTGGGGGGCACGATGGAGGAAGAAGACAGAGACGGAGAGAAATACAGCAGCAGATGGGGCGAGCTGATGCATGTGCATTGACAGGGGCCAACAGGGGGGTTGGGATGGGCACAGAGAGGGCTGGGGTGCAGACCCCACCCCCCAGGAATCCCCATTGATTTTGGCAGAGTGGGGGGCGCACTAGGACACTGGTAAGGGACTCCCTACCGCATGAGCCAGGTGCCCAGCCCTTGGAGAACGCTCGGCTGCGGGTTCAAATCCAGCCTGAACCGCCCCCTGAGGGGACGGGGACCACATCCAAGTCGCCGTGGGACCAGTGCTCTTGGATCTCTGGGCAGAGGAGCCGAGGGGCAGCGGGGTCGTGACACACACCCGGCCCCGCGCTGGGCAAATCCCCTTCACTTTGCAAGGTGTCACTCAGCTTTGACCTCTGACCCCCGAAGAGGGGTGCTGTGAGGTTGCCTGGCACGTCCTGATAAAGCTGGTTATCTTGGGGGAGGGAGGACCCCTGCTTCCCCCAGGGCCCAGCACATAGGGCCAAGTGCCTCACATGGCTCTTGGCCGTGCTGGGGGAGTATTCTGGCTGGGTGGAGCCGTCCTCTGGCCTGAATCCAGCCCCGGTGTAGCTCAGACCAGGGGTGGAATTGGCCCCTGAGTTCCTGGGTTTATGACAAGGTCCCGGTCACCCAGGGGCCGGCCCTACCTGCTGCAAGAGGTTCAGGATCCGAACCATCCAGCGCCGGTACCAGGTGCTGGTGTCCAGCTGGATCTCAATCAGCTCGTCCTCCTGCTTAATGGTTTTGATGTGGGTGACCTGTGAGGCGGGAGGGAAGACGAGCACTGCAGGTTACCGGCGGCGTGGGGCAGAATGGGGACATTCCCCTGGCACAGGGTGGGGCCCGACGCCAGGCATGGCAGGATAGGGATAAAGCACAGGCCATGGGAAGCTCAGAGGGCAGAGACGTCAGCCGGTCCGGCCCCTCCAGCATGGGGCCTCGGACCAGCCGAAGACCCATCACCCCGTGCCAGGGGAACTGGTGCCAGGTTGCACCCCGATCTCTGCCCCTGCTGCCGCAGCAATGCAGACTGGAGAGTCGGGGCCTCACCTCACTGTCCCTGCAGTACTTCTCCTGCCCCCAAACACCCCGTCTCAACCCCCCGCCCCCTCTTCTGCTGCCCCGACAGTCCCCACGGCTCCCCACCCACCTTTCGCTGGCTCACTGGAAACACTAATCACACCAAATCCAAGCGGAGCACCTCGGGTCTTCTCCCCCACAGCCCCGCTCCTTTCCCTCCACCCCGCACGGCTTTGTGCCTCACATTGGGAATGAATCTCCCCCTCTCACATCCTCCCTTGGTTCCCTCTCACCACCCCGCTCTGCCTTGATGCTGCAGACTCTTCACAGCCCAGCGCCCCCCGCACCTGAGCTGCCATGCCTTGCTTTGCGCCATCTACCGCAGCCGGGCAGCTCCTAGCAGCGGCAAGCACACCTCATCCTAGGGCTCAGATTCTCCCCATTCGAGCCAATCCCGGCCTAGATGTTGGACGCTGGCCCAGCATGCCACGTCACTCTCTAGCAACTGGCCCATATAGAGGATAATGGCCTATTACTGCTACCAACTAACGGAGTTACTCCTTTAGCTCAGGGGGTTGGGGTCTGGATCTGTGCTTTGGTGTGGAAGATGCCAGGTTCCAACCCTGCTGAGGGCCCATGGTGCAGGGCCTGTTATATTTATGGGGCAATAGAAATAATTTCAAACCAAAATAGTGTTAACAACCTCCACACAGGGGGTGCCTATGCCACCAATGGCCCAATAGAGGCAGCTGGCACCATACTACCCTCACAATCCATGAGTGGGTTTTAGACTCTCAACCCCCCACAAGAGTTAGGGAAATGGCCTAGCGGATAGAGCACTGGGCTGGGACTCAGGAGACTCACGTTCTATTCCCGGCTTGCTGGGTGATTTTGGGCAAGTCGCTTCCCCACTCTGTGCCTCAGTTTCCCCAGCTGTGAAATAGAGATAATGATACTGCTCTGCTAATGGAAAGAGCTAGGGATCATCGTCATTATTTACAGGTGGGGAACCCAGGCTCAGGGAGGGAGCGATTTGTCCAAACTCAGCAGCAGAGCCAGGAATAAAACCCAGGTCTCCTGACTCCCAGCCCATAGCCTACTCACGACACCCTCCTCTGTCACCACCAACAAGCATTTTCCCTTGGCTCGCCCCTCTCTCCTCTAGCCTAAAGGTCTCTCCTCTGCCCCAGGGGACCAGAGCAGCCAAGGGGAGCGACTGAGCGGCGCTTACCGAAAACACCCTCTCGGGGTGGCCCTTGGCTCGCATGTTGGTGTCATGAACCTGCTTCAGCACCATCCAGGCCTCGTCGTGCTTCCCGTTCTGCAAGACAAAAGCCAAGGCCACTATTGACCCAGCTGCCATGCAGCCGTGCAGGGGGCAGGCACCTGGGATACTGCAACTCAGCCTTCAAGGGGCACCCCACTGCCTGATGCGTCCTGGCTTGAAGGGAGGTCAGCCATGCAGGAGATGCCCCTAAGAATTAGGGGCACCTAGGCCAGCTGTTCTCAACCAGGGGTCTGAAGCCCCCTGGGGGGCCCCCAAGCAGATTTCAGGGGGTCCGCCAAGCACGGCCGGCATTAGACTCACTACAGCCCGGGTCAGAAAGCTGAAGCTCCCCCAGCTCCGAGCCCTGCCACCTGGGGCCGAAGCCAAAGCCTGAGCAACTTCCCTGCCTACCCCCTGGGGCGTGTGGCCCCAGGCCACTGCCCTGCTTGCTATCCCCTAATGCCGGCCCTGGCTTGTATACAGGGGCGCTGGAATAATGTGTACAGTGGGGGTGCTGAGAGCCACTGAACCAAACTGTAAACCCTGGATATAAGGGAAACCACTTCAAGCCAGGGGGTGCAGCTGCACCCCCAGCTCCCCTCGCCCCAGCGCCTGCGCTTTTATATGCAGTTGGGGCACAGGGGGGCCGTGGAGTTTTTATAGCATGTTGGGGGGGGGGCTCAGAAAGAAAAAGGTAGAGAACCCCTGACCTAGGCACCCCACACCTCGCCACAGTGCTGGCCCACCTCTCAGACCAGGCCCTGAGCCAGATGTCGCCGCCCTCCAGGTATCATGCCCCACTGCTGCAGCCAGAATGGCCCTTCCTTCCCTGCACCCCCCTCCAGCCCCACCCCACCTGTGCACGGGGGCATCGCCACGAGTCGCCCAAGCAAACAGTATAGCCATGGGACACCCCCTGCTGCCAGCGGGCTCTAAGCACCATTCCTGCCCCAGGCTGCTAATTTGGTAATAAGTGCTGCGGGACTGACAGGTCCTGGATACAGGAGCCGTCTCTCCATCCCCAGAGTTCATATGGAAGCACCAGCTTTCTGCATTGCCCCCATTCGGGGCAAAGGCGGGGGATTCAGTCCTGGGGCACCTGTTCAGGGCTGAGGCTGATGGATTCATTGCTAGGCCCAGGGCTGTGATCCCCAAAGCCCTGTCTCAGATAGTCTCATCTGACGGCTGCTCCTGGCCCGTCTCTAGTTTCTACTGCAGGATGTTGAAGCAGAGCTGGAGGCCAGTTCAGCACCTGGTCTCCATACTCCAGAGCCAGCCTGTGCCCCCTTTCTGCCTTAGATCCGGCTGCATCCCAGCCCAGGGCCCCAGACGCGGACATGCACAGATAAGTCCTTTCTGACTCCCCCCCGCCGATCAAGCTGCACAGACTTTACCTCCAGGAAGAAGCGTGGGCTCTCGGGCATGGTGGTGAGAGCACCGATGGCAAAGACGGAGGGGAAGGCGCAGACCAGGACAAAGACCCTCCAGCTGTGGAACTGGTATGCGGAGCCCATCTGGAAACTCCAGCCTGGGGAACAGGATGGAGGCATGAGAGAAGAGGAGCAAAAAACAGGAGAGGAGGAGCGGGAAGTGGTAGAACTCAAGATAGCTACATCCAAAGCTGATTGCCGAGAGTCACAAAGGGATCTCCTTGAACGGGGTGACTGAGCAACAAAAGGGCAGATGAAATTCAGTGTGGATACATGCAAAATAAAGCACATTGGACAAACTAATCCCAACTATACAAACAAAATGACGGGGTCCAAATTAGCCATTGCCACTCAAGGGAGAGATCTTGGAGTCATTGTGGATAGTTCTCTGAAAACCTCCGCTCAATGTGCAGCGGCCGTCAATAAAGCGAACAGAATATTAGGAACCGTCAGGAAAGGGATAGATAATAAGACAGAAACTATCATCGGGCTGCTATATAATTCCATGGTGCGCCCACACCTTGAATACTGCGGGCAGTTCTGGTCACCCCATCTCAAAAAGACAGATTAGAATTGGAAAAGGTGCAGAGAAAGGCAACAAAAACGATTAGGGGAATAGAATGATTTCCATACGAGGAGAGACTATAAAGCCTGGGTCTGTTCAGCATAGAAAAGAGAGGACTAAGGGGGGATATGAGGGAGGTCTATAAAATCATGAATGGGAGAAAGTGACTAGGGAAGTGTTATTTACCCCTTCACCTGACGCAAGAACTAGGGTTCATCAGATGAAATGAATAGGCAGCAGGTTTAAAACCAACATAAGGAAGTGCTACTTCACACAACACACAGTCAACCCATGGAACTCGTTGCCAGGGCATGTTGTGAAGGCCAAAACCACAGCCAGGTTCAAACAAGAATGAGATCAGTTCCCGGAGGATAAGTCCAGCAATGGCTGATAGCCACGATGGTCAGGGACCAACCCCATGCTCAGGGTGTCCCTAAACCTCCGATTGCCAGAAGCATCTGGCACTGGCCATCGTCAGAGACAGGACACTGGGCTAGATGGGCCACTGGTCTGGGCCAGTGTGACCATTCTTAAGTTCTTTGGTTCTTAAGTGGAGGAGCATGGGGGGAGATTTCCACCCCGTCAGCAGCAGCTGCATCTTCATCTCCACTCCTGCCCCCTTCCTCCCTCCTCCACCTCCTTAGGGCTTCCCTGCCTACCCCCGTTAAGCAGCAGCACCCCCCCTTCCTGCACAGCGCCCTCGCCAGCATGACCCCGATTCCCCCACCCAAGCCGGCTCCCATCCTGTGGGCGTGGTCAGGAACTGGAAGAGTGTGGGAGGAGGGGAGGAGCTTGGGTCCCAGTGGCTGGCAGGCAGTGACTGACACCCCTGGAGCAGTCCAGACCCTGGCGCTCAGGGGGTTAAATGCCACCCCAGACCGCCTGCTGCCCCAACACGCCCCCTTGGCGAGGGAATTTCTTTCCCAACTCTGTATCTTGCAATCAGTTCAGCCTAGTGCACATAACAAAGCCCCTGGTCCCACGCACAGGAGCCCTGGATGCTGTTAGCATCCACATCCCAGCCAGGGTACGTCTCAGAGTCAGCTTCGGGGCCAGCGCCCCCTAAACACATGCCCTCTGCTCCTGTATGACCAATGTGGCCTGGCCCAGAGCAGGTGCAAGAGGGGAGTTCAGCCCCACCAGATGTCTCTGCTGAGGCTGCCAGCCTGGGGGTGTGAATGGCTGGGATGGCAAAACACAACCCATGCAGACAGCTAGACGGTGACAACTGGTGTGAACCAGAGTGGCAGGGGCTACAGAGCTAAAGCTGGTCCAAAAAATGTGGGGTTTCCCCCCTGGAAAATTTTGATTTTTCAGCAGAAATTTGAATACCAAAAGATTTCGATTCAGAAATGCCACTCTGGTGCCTCATGGGAGCTGTAGTTCGGGTGCCTTGTTCTCTATAGGCCAGGCTGCCTGACTGGACTACCTGTCCCATGATGTACCACAGTCTCCCCCCGACTTGGAAAGGGGAGGTGGTGCATCTTCAGAAGCCCTAGCCATGGTGCATCATGGGAGATGGAGTCCAGCTCAGGAGTCCAGCACATAAAGGAAAATGGGGGACAGGAGGCACCCAAACTACAACTCCCATGATGCACCATGGTGCATTTCTAAATCAAAATGTTTCCACTTTGAGGCAGTACAGGATTTTCTGAGGGAAGCAGACACTTCTTGCAAAAAAAAAAATCATTTAGTAAAAAAGCAATTTTTTTGGCAGAAAACAGTTTGGATGGAAAATTTTCAGCCATTCCTATCCATTGCCCATTACTACCACCCCCCCGACCCACCCATTCTTTAACACAATCTTTGCTGGAGCAAGAGGGGAGAAACAATGGTGGCTTTCCCAGCACAAGGGGGACGGGAGCACCAGTTGTCCCCCTTTTCTCTTACCATAGTGAGGGATGATGGCCCAAGCCATGGCTGATGCATAGATGCCCCCAATCATCCAGAACATGCAGAGCCAGCTCAGGTGCTCGCCTCGCTTCTCCTGAGCTAGGAACTCCGAGAAGTAGGAGAAGACAATGGGGATTGAGCCCCCGATGCTGGGAAAGGGAGGAAGAAGACATGGATCAGAACAACTTCCAGTAGGAGAGAGCCTGCAAGGGCTGGCGATCCTCATGCTTCAAGGCATAAACTCATTGCCAACTGGGAGAGGGGGGTCAGGAAGGACTCGTCTGCACCCTACTGCGAGGTGCCGAGGTTTTAACACCGTCCTCTGAAGCCAGGAAAGCAGACCTGATGCACCATCAGCCTGATCCAAAATAGCAGCAGGTTTTGGAGGATACAAAGTTAGATAGGCAACAGGTGGAGCAGGTCATATACCTGGGCTAGATGAATTATGTGTTTGCTTAGGGCGGAGCGGGGGGGGGGCCGGGGAAAGAGATCCCAGACTGGAGGGATTCCCCATTACAGGCTCTTGTTCTACATCCATTGCAGAGACACCAGGCTGGCCAGATTCCGGCACTGGGTCTGGACGTTTCATTCCACAGCATTGGTTTTCTCAGCCACGGGGAAGCCTGCTCTTAATTACCTTAATTACCAGCAGATTTCTGCTGGCAGATTCCAGGCGGTGCTCCCCAAGAAGGGGAATTCAGAGGTGCACGCGGCATTAGCATCTCAATTCATTATGGCACCTGCTTTCCTGCCCAGATGTGGGAGCTAGCTTGATCAGCAAAGTGGCAACTTAGTTTATAAACCCATTGGGAGAAGAGAGTTTAGGGTTTAGAGGAGGGGGAAGGGAGAGAGGCTTTCTGGGTCCTATTTCTGGACCTGCTACTGATTTCCTGGGTGACCTTGGACAAGTCACTTCAAGTCGCACCTTCCATATCAGTGGCCACCTTTGATCTCCCAGCTAGGCTCCTCCATCACCGTGAGCAGCAGGAATTCAAAGTGGGACCCTAACAGGGGACAGAGCCCCCTGGCTGAGCTGGTAGTTGCTGTGCTAAGATTGTCAGACAAAGGAGAGGGAGTGAGAATCTGGGCAGGATGTCCAAGGTGGAGCAGATGGAAAAGTATTACAGAATTTCCAGGGACATTTCCATTCCAGATCAAACCATTGGTCCATACAGTCTGGTATCCCCACCTCCTACCATCTCAGATCAAACCACTCATCTATACAGTCTGGTATCCCCACCTCCTGCCACCTCAGGTCAAACCATTGGTCCACATAGTCTGGTATCCCCACCTCCTACCACCTCAGATCAGACCTTACTGGCATCCCGCCAGCTCCCACCCATTTGACCACTGGTCCATCTCTGCCAGTTTCCCTCCTTCTGCCATAACATATCCAGCCTCTGGCCCATCTGCTATGGCCTCCCAACTGCCTCTCAGGTAGCAGCTCCGACTGCAGGTCTACCTAGCTCCCTCTCTTCGGATACCACCACTCCCCCAGCACCCCAGACTAGACCATCCAGCTTCTGACCTGGCCCAGAGGAGACCTCAGTGGCTCTAAAAGCTCCAGGGAATGGGTTTTCCACTCCGCCTAAAAACATGGTGCACAGAGACTGGAAATGGCTCAGGATCAGTTTCGATCCACCAGCCATGACGTGGTCAGAGGTGGACCTTCCCCTTGGCCCCCTCGGGGACTGGATCCCATCTGAGGGCGTGAACACGCCACCCTCCTGGCAGAGCATCCAGGACGAGCGGGCTGGCTCCTGCCAGGCCTCCCTTACCCCACTCCGGAGAGCAGCCTGCAGAAGAGGAAGGTGCCGTAACCTTGCACGAAAGAGGAGAAGAAGGCGAAGACGCTGTTGACCGAGAGGGAGATGAGGAGGCACTGCTTCCGGCCAATCCGATCCGCCAGGCCGCCCCACAGGAACGCTCCCACCATCATGCCCAGGTAGACGATGAGGCCTGGAGGGACACAGCAAACAGAGTGGCACCTGTCAGCAGTAATGCACAGGCCTAGAGCGCCCCCCACCCATACCCAGGCTGCAGTGCTCCCTCGAGGCTCAGCAGAGCACGTCCAGGCAGGGGCTGTGCGGCCGCCAACACCAAGCAGCAGGTGCTGGGGTGGAGCGCGGCAGGCGGGTAGGGCAACAGCTTCTAGGAGGCAGGCAGTGACAACGAGGGGAAGAAGAGTCAGGACTCCTGGGTTCTCAACCCCATGCTCTAAGCATTAGACCCCATGCTTCTCCCAGAGCTGGGGAGAAAACCCAGGAGTCCGGAGGCCCAGCCTCCCTGCTCTAACCACGAGACCCCACTCCCCTCCCAGAGCAGGGGAGAGAACCCAGCAGTCCTGCCACCCATGCTGTGTCTGAACCCCAAACCCAAGGAATTAGGAGCTCATAGGAGATGAAGATCCCTCTTTCCCATAGCGGGCAGCCCATCACTCTTCTGGATGGTGGCTCTGTGTGGTTCCCAGTGCCCCCACCCCCACCCGCCGCTCCAGGAAAGGCTGTGATCTCCCAAGTTGTCCCAGCAACCCGTGGCTAATTTCTTGCTGCACTTCTCTGCCGCTGGGGGATGGGGGCGCGAGGGGAGCCCTGCTCGCTGCCCCGGCTAACGGGACTGGCATGAGGGGCAGCCCTGGGCCACACGGGGCTCCCTCCAACCCACTGTGGGGCACTGAGAGCCAGGCAGTCAGGGGGCTGCTGTAGCTGGGAGCAGGGCAGGGCAGGAGATGGGAAGGGAGGAAAGGGGGAAATGGGGAGCGATGTGCTACGGGGTACAGCTGAGCTGGGGGGGCAGAGCCTGGGGGGAAATAGGGGGCGCAGAGGGGACTGTGTCATGCTGCAGAACTGAACAGGGGGGTCGGGCACAAGGGGGCAATGGGGGAGCAGAGGACACAGTGTCACACTTCATGGCTGAGATGAGTGGGGGGGCGGGGTTGAGTGCAGATGGAGATGCCGGGGAGGTTCCTGTGATGCTGCCAGGCTGAGTTGGGGGGCAGAGCATGGGGCAGATAAGGGTGCCGGGGGGACCATGTCAGGCTGCAGGGCTGAGCTCAGGGGGAGCTTGGAGGGAGCAGGGGGGACAGTGTCACGCTGCAGGGTTGAGTTGGGGGGCAGAGCACACGGGTGCAAGGGGGTGTCCCTGTAATGTTGCAGGATAGGGGTGAGCACAGGGGAAGACAGGGGCACGGGGGGGGGAGGAGTTGTGTCGCAGTGCGGCTCTGAGCTGCCGAAGTACAGAGGGGAAACGAATCCCTTCACCCCCCAGCCTCCGATCCTGACGTGGCGGGGGGGGCGGGGACTCCGAAGCGGCACGTTCACACCCCAGCGACCAGCAGCTGTCGACCTGTGTGATTAGCACGATCCTGATCCCTCATCCCGGGGATTTCACGGCCCATCGGGCAGCTAAAGCCGAGAGGGCTAACTCGGCCCCCGCAGCGGCCCGGGCTTGTCGGCCTAGCCCGGGGGAGAGAAACATCCTCCCGCCTCCGCAGGCCAGACCCTCATCGGCGTCATGCCCAGCTCCTCTCCCCGCGAGCGGCCTGAGGCGAGGACGAACCCACCTCCCCCCACGCTGAGTCACTCCTCCCTGGCAGCTGGCAGGCTCTCCCGGACCCCCACCGCTGTGCCCTTCACGTCACTTTCAGGAGATGCCGCGGCTGCCCCACAGCAGGGGATCTCGCCTTGCACAGTCAATTCAGGGGACGCTGCCCAAGGCGGACACGTGGCAAGCACGGGCGGCTGCTGCTTGCCAGATCGCTGCCCGTGGTGAGCCAGAGCCCAGATTCTCCCTCCAGTGATGTGCCCCTCAGTTCTCCCAGCCTGGAATCACTCACACCCCCACCAGGCAGCTACTCCCAGGATTTAACTTCTAATGAAATTCAAGCAATTTTTTTTACGTTCCCAACCGATGCAGCAGGCCCAGAGGCGCCGGGGCTATGAACTGCCAAGCCTAGAGGCGCCAGCCCTGGCCCAAATTAAGCACTGGCTGCTCCTGTGGAACAAGCCACCTATCAGGTGGCGGGCGGGGCTGAAGGCAACCAGGCGGCACCCAGACAGCGGGCTGAAGGCAACCTACGGAGTCTGCATGGGCTCCTGGGGAGGTCGCTGGCCTGCGTCCTATTCCTGGTCTGCTGCTGACCTGCTGGGTGACTTTCGCCAAGTCAATTCCCCAATGCAAGGGCACAAGGGCAAAACCAATTTTCCAGCCACAAAATGCATTCTCCAAGCCCCACGGGACAGTCAGTGTTAATTGTCTTGTATCACGGCAGCGACTGGGAGCCCCAGTCATGGGCCAGGGCCCTATGGTGGGAGGTGCTGTACAAACCCAGAACAAAGAGACAGTCGCTGCCCCCAAAGAGCTTGCACTCTAAGTATAAGCAAGAGACACCAGATGGAGGCAAAACAATGAGGTAACTTTGAGCCTGTGACTATTAGCAATAAATCACTCAAGTTGATGTAACAACTTTACAATGTCTGAATTCCAGGCTACAGCCATGAAACCATCCCCGAAACATGAAAAAAACAGAGAGCGTCACCAAGGCTGGTGGCAGGCGGGGTCATCAGGACTGGGATGTAGTGGGTTGGGGACTGTATTGGAGAAAGATGGACTCAGAAAGAGACTTAAAGGCCATAGTGGAGAACCAGCTGCAAGATGGTGGTTACAAGAGAAAATGCAATCCTTGGATGGATAATCTGGAGAATACTCAGCAGATGCAGAGACGTGTTATCACCATTGTACACGGCATTAGTGAGACCATCAGCCAATACTAGCCCTGGGGAAAATTTTCCGTCTGAAATCGTTTCAGGATCAAAAAAATCTGCATTTTTTCGTCAACCAAAACATTTTTGTGAATTTGTGTCAAATTCATTGAATTGTTCCAATCAACCCTGCCCCCCCAAAAAATCCCCCCAAATTTTGAAATGTTTCATTTCCACATTTTTGAAGCAAAACTTTTCAATTTTTCAATTCAAAACGGTTTTCCATTTCAAGTTTTACTTCAATTTTAGCTTTTTTAAAAAAAGGTTAAAGAACTCAAAACCCACCCAAAATGAGTTGAACGGATCATTTCATTCGAAAAAATAATCTGAAAAATTTTCATTCTGGGGCAACCTGACACTGTTCCCTGCCCCCTTCCCAAATTTTTCAGTTTCAGACACTGCAGATCAGTTCTTTGCACAGAGCTGCTGGATACTGGGGCCAGTCCTGGTGTCCACACTTCAACAAGGATGTTGATAAATTGGAAAGGGTTTGGAAGAAAGCTACAAGAATGATCTGAGGCCTGGAAAACCTGTTTCACAGCAAGAGTGTCAAGACACTGTAGCTATACTGACCTAATCCCCAATGTAGACACATCTAGGGTGACGGATGAATGCTTCCATCAACCGAGCTACCATTGCTCAAGGAGGTGGTGTTCCTACACCAGTGGAAAAACCCCTTCCATTGCTTCAGGTCTACACTATGGGGTTATGCCAACAGAGCCTGGCACCGTAGCTGTGCCAGGATAGTCCCCATAGTGTAGACACGGCCTGAAGCTAGATAAATGCAGACTAGAAATAAGGTGCAAATTTTTCAACAGTGGGGGGGATGAATCCCGGGAACACCGCATATAGGGATGTGGGGGATTCTCCATCACTTGGGTCTTTACATGCATAGACTCCAAGGCCAGAAGGGACCACTGTGATCATCTAGTCTGACCTCCTGGATAAAACCTGCCAGAGAATTGCTCCAAAATAATTCCTAGAGCAGATCTTGTAGAAAAACATCTCATCCGGATTTAAAAATGGCCTGTGATGAAGAATCCACCACAACCCTGGATGAGTTGTTCCAAGGGTTAATTACTCTGCCTGTTAAAAACATTCACCTTATTTCCAGTCTGAATTTGTCTAGCTTTAGCTTCCAGCCATTGGCTCATGTTAGACCTTCCTCTGTCAGACTGAAGAGCCCATTATCAAGTATTTGTTCCCCACTTAGGTGCCTATAGACTGTGATCAACTCACCCCTTAACGGTCTCTTTGTTAAGCTAAATAGATTCAGCTCAGTGAGCCTATCACTACAAGCCAGGTTTTCTAATCTTTTAAATCACTCTTGTGGCTCTTCTCTGAACCCTCTCTGAGCTACCAACATCCTTCCAGATTGGCCATCTCTTTCTCAGAGACACATTCTAGCTCAACCAGAAGTTAAGGCTCCATGCAGGAATTGCTCAGGGAGGTTCTCCAGGCTGTGCTATTTAGGAGGGCAGACGAGATGATCAGAACGGCCCCTTCTCGCCTGAAAATTGACACATTCAACAGAACTGACCCAGTCTGAACTCCCTGACCTTTCCAGAGGAGCTTTCATTTCAAAAGGAAACCCAAAGCTATGGCCCCAACCCAGCAATCGATCCACGCAGGCAGGTCTGAGGATGGGTCTGTCCGGGCTCAAGGATTGGATTGCAGGACCAGTCACCCTTGCAATAGAGTGACAACGGAAAGACTCCTGCAACCCCAGGACTCCCGTTTTACACCAGTGTATTCATGGGGAGAATGAGGCTGCTGCTCTTTGGACCAAACCGGTGTCAGGACATAGAGCAGGCGCTCTCAATGTCTGCAGACACCAGAGGGATCAGTACTAGCTTGAGCTGTCCACATCCCACATCCCTTCACCCTAATCCTGTTCCTGAGAATCAGTGGGAAACCTGTACAAAGCTTGCCAACTTCAGCACAGGCACCCATGCCCTACCCTAAAGATCACGCCTTAGAACAGCATCTGTGATGTCTTGATCCTTCTCCAGCCCACGCAGCAGCTGGTGGCTCCAGCTGGAAGACTGGGTCCCCAAGGGGACTGCACTGGCCCAGAACGTGAACCCTGTAGGGAAGGCTTAGAGCATGGCCATGACGGGCTGTATTCAGGGAACGCTCACCCCAATGCCTATCCTAGTTGCGTGTATAGGAGGCGCTGGTCTCCAGGCTGGTCAATCC